CTGTGCTTATTAGAGATAACACGGTAGGTGCGATGAGCGTCGTTTGACCGTCATCTCTTGGCAATGTCCAAGCAGCCAGGCCAGGGTCATCAGTTGGACTGTCGAGCACTGCGGTCGGAAGCCGAATTGATGGTCGTGCAGATGGTCATATATTCTGTGACAATGTCAATGGGGAAGGGGCTACATACATGTACATGTACATGTATACCGTATTACTGCTGCAGTAGCCGTCAGGCTTCAGGAGGTATGGCAGAAGACCATCAGGGCCAGGGGTTTTGCCGATGCTCAGCGACTATTGTTGTTTCATGACCCAATCGACGGTGACCATGAAATCTGACGACTACTTGACAGGACCATGCATGTCGGATGTTGGGTTTGCGTCCGTAACAATGCTGCAGAAGAAGTCGTTCAGGTCCTCGGCCGGAATCGCGGGAGGGATGTGGGTGCTTGTGCGATGGGTGAAATGGTTGATAGTTGTCCACAAATGCTTCGGGCTGTAAAAAACAATTGTTCATGTTCATGTACATGAACAATTGTTGATGGCTGAGACATACATGTACATGTACCAGAGAAAGTACCAAATTGTCTGCCAATTTTCTATCTGCATTAGCCGCCAATGGCTACCTTGCCATGGGAGCGGGAAAGCATTGTTCCTTATACATGTACATGTACATGTACACTGTACCAACCTTCTACATGTATATCAGCTCCCAAGCCTCCCATTGACATAATTATTGTTACAGTAACATGTGGCGTGTACTGTACATCTACTGTATAATATTATCATTGTTGGCACTAGTCTGAGTTTTGAAAATGGACTAGCCAGCAGAGGATCAACGTAATCGTTACGTGTGCAATGAGTCCTCACTGGCCCCACGACTCGGCCACCAGGCTCACCTGCACGTTACTCATACTCAGAGTCATAGTCATACTGCCATGTGCACTCAGTGCGGAAGGTCCTAGATCCTGTGCTGGACGGTTCACCTGGGTCACAGGTTACTTCCATGCATTATTTAGGCTACGTTGTACCTTACACCATTGAATGACCGGTATTTGCTTATGCCCTGCCTGAGTATTTGCTTACAACAGGACTGTCAGCTTTCGCAAGTTTCGGGTCGACAGTCTGGTGCATTGCAGTGCCAGTACAGCGGATCTTTCGGTTCAATTTCGGTGTTGGCGTTTCGACCTTTCCTTTCCTTAGGACGATGGCCGGATGGGTCAATGTTGACCATGGCATGGTTGACGCAATGCATGCAAATGAGTGTACTTACAAGTACATGATGTACTTCGAAGTGCATTTAGTCTACAAAGTGCTGTACATTGACCATAACTATAATAATTGTATAAAACAAAAGTACAGCGGGAGCATAGGCTTGCATAGCAGGGCTGACAGCTGGGTCCTCTTGCGTTTACAAAATACATATTGCACTGAGTCTGTCTTGTTGGCATCATATCAGCCATCACATCAATGCAGCCCGCCGTCCATGCCCACGGACTGTCGGTAGATCTACAGTCATGAAAATAACGAGTTACGTGGGTGCAGATAGTAAAGTCCATGACCTTTTCGGCTTTTGACTTGAGTAGACTTCTCGCCTGCGGCAGTGACTGTCAGGGACTCAGGGCTCGCGGACTGCGGACCATGTGCACCCACGGCTTGCTGCAGTATCATGAATACTGTCACGGTGTCAGTGCAGTATCACTATCACCAAGATCAAGAGGCAAGAGTACATAACCCCCATGTACTCTTGCTATCACTGAAGTATCAGGCTGAATAACTACTGTCTATCTTTCAGTTGTCCCCTGTACACTGTAGATCTACAATAATAATAATATTACATGCATATGACTGTCTGTATGTGTATGTGTAGCCTGACACTATGACAGTCAGATAAGATCAAGAGCGACGTTTTTGGATTTGACATTCGCATAAAACACTGATAAAAGTAATAAAAGTGTTTCATTCAGCCTTGACATGTCGACATGAGCGTCTAGAGTGCGCCAGTCAGAGTCCGGACCAGGTAAAGCCAAAAATGTGGATGCGTCTTGCGTTTCCTTTTGCCTTGGCGTGACTGCATACCGTACAATGCGTGGCTATATCACAAACCGTCAACTGAACGCTATCCGCATGCGCTTCTCCCTCTGTAGAGTAAGTACAAATAACGACATATCTACATCAGTACATGTACATGTACGTAGTCTACAAAGACTGTCACTACACCATGGTACACTGTACAGATAAGACAGCAAAAGTCGGGGATTAATATTATAGAAAAGAAAAAAGAGCCAAGGAACTACAACTTACACAGAACAGGTTACGCTATAATAGTGTCCACTATAATTTATAAACACCACCAGCAGCTACTAAACAATCAGCTCATGCGATAACATAATTGCACGACACTGACCGACGGTACTGACGTTCTACAACTAACTGGCTAACAGCTCTAGCACATCTTGGATGCGCACTCCAACAGCCTTCCAACTAAGTTACTTGGAAAGTTCTAAGTTAGTTATTACGATAACATACCCGGTAGGAGGGGAAGCCAAGGTGAGCGCAACCAAGACAAGTCTCAGCTGTGAAGGACGTTGGCGGATGTACATGCATGTCGATGACAATCCTGGCAAGACCATTGGACAATGCGGTCAAACCACGATTCAAGGACGCAAAGCAACATTCCACACAACTAACTTGTGTGGCTCAAAGATGCGAAGATCTAAAAGGGTTATCATAATAACTTAGAACTTTCCAAGTAACATTACTAGTTGAAGGCTGATGTTTGAGTGCGCATCCAAGTCAAGATGCCTTAGAGCTCAGGATAGCCAGCTAGTTGCAGAACGTCAGTACCGTCGGTCAGTGTCGTGCAATGTTTACAGTTGTCGCATGAGCTGATTGTTTATTAGTAGCTGCTGGTGATTGTCAAGTACTAGTAACTGGTGGTGTTAGTGGAAATTATAGAGTTTATAGAAAAGAAAAGGATCAAGGAACGTCAAGTTACGCTATACTGTCCACTAACACCACCAGTTACTTGACAATCAGCTCGTGCGATAACATTGCGCGACACTGACCAATGGTACTGGCGTTCTACAACTAACTGCTAGGCTAAGCGGATTATGCCGGCATATTTTTTTGGCGTAATCAGATCCCTTTTTTAGAAGGAGCATAAAATGGCATCCGAAACACACGGGCAAATGCCCAATGAGGCTGTTATACACACCTGCTATTGAAGGCATAATTGAAGGTATATAAATCAGGTCCTTTTTGAGAAGGAGCATCAAATGGCATCCGAAAAACAAGGGCAGATGCCCAATGAGGCTGTTATAATTATACACACCTGCTATTGAAGGACCATACATAGCGCTTCTTGCGGATTTGGAATAATATTTTAGCAGCCACTATAGCCTAGTATAGGACATCTCCCAAACGTTCAGCGTTTGCTTGTGAATTTGGTATTCCTCTTGCATATTATTTTTGGTGAAGCATACAGGCACATGTAAAAGCTTATCACTCCCTTAGTATTGACTCCCATAGGTTTTTGCTATACCTAAGCAGTCAAATATTCCTGCATATTTGACTCCTTAGGGCTACATGTACATGTACATGTACATGTACATGTACATGTACATATTGACTGCTTACATGTATTTTGACTCCTTTTCAGGGATTGAACACAGGCTTTGGGTAGTCGTAATAAATCTAATACTGACTTCGTACTTGGTCAGTATAGGAAATAAAGACCTCGGCTTCGCCTCTGGTCTTTTCCTCGGCTTTTATTTCCTACATCCTACATTGTATATTGACCTCGTACAAATATTGGATACATGCTGTGGCTGTTGTTTTTTTTCGAGCATCCTGCGAGCATCCGCTAGAGCATAATCCGCTGACACCTACATGTACTGCCAATCAGCTCTAGCACGTCTTGGTTGCGCACTCCAATAGCCACCTTCCTTCCCCTCCTACAAGACATGTTTGTTATTCCTATAACTATTAAACTAATAATTATTATAGAACCTTCCAAGTAAGTTAGTTGGAAGGCTGTTGGACTTGGAGTGTGCGCCACCCAAGACGTACATGTACTACTACTAGTAGACTAGAGCTGATTGGCGGTTAGTTGTACAGTCATGTACATGTAGAACGTCAGTACCATTGCCTGAATGGTGAGTGTCGTGCAATGACTACTACTACTACTTACTAGTATGAGCTGGTTGTGAAGTTCTAAGTAAATGGTGGTGTTAGTGGACATTATATACATGTACATGTACATGTAGCGTAACTAATAAGTCTTGTAGTTCCTTGGTCTTTTTCTTTTCTATTTTAATCCTTGGCTCTCCATCCGAGTCAATTATCATAATACAAGTCATGTAGGTGTGGGCTTTTTGTGAAGTTCAACTAACTAATTACTTCAATGCGTATCCTGTCGCCCATACTGAGTCTGTCTGTGCTCGTACATAATTTTCATAAACAATCATCATCATAATCATGTTCATACTGTATTACTGAATCATACTATTTTATTACTATTCTGAGTATTCATAGTCATAGCTCCTGGCGCGCGCCGTCGCCGCAGATGGAACGGATCATGGCCGGAGATCGATAGGGCCAGGGGACGCGAAGGGGACATGAATCTTGCGCGTCGAGTCTACGCCATGCGCCACACTAGTAATAATGACGTAGCTGGAGGTCTAACGTACATGTAGACCTACATACAGTACGATCGCCTAGCTAGCTAGAGTTAGCTACTGCTGAGTGCTGGCAGATAGTACGTGTACTTGTAGGCAGTACATGCAGTAGATCTACGCAGTTTCATATGGCTGAGTCTTATCTGTGGACTGCCTGTTGAGTGTTGTTGGTCTACCTGGTCTACACTCAGTACTAGACTGCACGCAGTGTGTGCGCGTGCACATCATGTAGATCTACATGGTGTACGTGTAGCGACTAGCTGGTGATGTGCGGTGCTGGATCGGTGATTGAAGTGGGTACATGCAGAGCTAGAGCGCGATAAAACAATAATGCAGCGTCTGCAAATCCTCCAAGCAGCTCAGTCAGCTCTGACCTGCCGCTGAACTCGCTTCTCTTTGAAAGTTCATGTCTCGGCGGACCTAGCAGTAGAGAGTCGCTTCCAGTAGTGGAGAGTGCCCTTGTGGAGAAGAGTGTTGTCCTCTGTGCTGCTGCTGCTGGTGTTCAGTTAGTCGTCGAAGAAGCTCGTTCGCTGGCTAGCTTCTTGCAGCAATGGCCAACGATGCCAGCAAACAGTTCTCCCAGCTCTCCAATGACTTCAGTCGAGTTGTGGACGAGGTCAAGGTATGTCAGTGTTTTCTTGTGCTGCTCCTGCTGAGCTGCGAATATTTCGTATCGGATCACAAACGCAGGACATCACGTCACGTATATTATTATGCGATACATGTTGATTTCAATTTTGGAATGCAGGGAACTTCACCTCTCGTGGAGGATTTGGTAGCTCGAGCTGGCAAGCTTCAACGTCATTTCGAGTGAGTGTGATGCTATTTGGCCATTTGTCACTCAGTGCGTGACTGTGGATTTCCCTGATGAATTATTCTACCGTTTGTATCCAATTGTATCTTTTCTCACTTGGCCTGATCAGAATATCGCCCTTTAAATGCCTGCTCAATGTGATTATTGCAGCACGCTGTCCATGCCTTGCTCGCTCTTCGTGTCCGTGTTTTGATTGTGAATGGATGCACACCGAGCTGCACTCGTTAGTCAGTGTGCTCTATACTGTTCGCCTGTTCAACACCAGGGTCCTCCTGATCGTTCTGTTTGTACGCGTGAAAGACGCATAATCTAGGTTCCTCTTTACGGGCAGCAGCTTGTGTGACAGAAAATACTAGTAATAGTGTATGCATTAGTGCTTCCTAGATCCTGACCTGAGCCTTTTCTTCGACGTTCGCCCGTCAAGTAGCGGTTTGTCATGTTTACAGCAGGTCACGAATGTGACTGAGTTCGACTAAATCCCAAGACCCTACAAAGCTACATTGCTACGTTAGCTCTTGGCAAAGGGTCGCTCTTTCTAGTTTATCTTTCAGCGTTGTGATTATTTTTACGAGGCCCTAGGCTAGGCTAGGGATAAGTAAGTTCATGATAACGATTCGTACGGACTTCGCTTGGCGGCAGGGCGGCGCGAAACGACGCTGCGTAGCCTGTTACCACAGGCACAGGCTCCAGTGCGCAGCTCTCGTCCTCTGTGTCAAAATACATGGACGAGGATTTTGAGCTCAATCCTTGTTGTGTTGCTGATTACTACTACTAGTACATGTAATGGCAAGACATTAGTATAGTAGATCTACTAGAAGTAGTTAGTACTACTACTAGTCTCATTTCTATTTTTTGTATTTCTTATGTTTTATTTGAATCATGAATGGCTCCGGGTTCGCGTTTTCAGACTTAGCTAACTAATTATTTTACCCATTGTTTCTGTGACTTGTTGTCATTTTGTTTCAGCGCCACGGCATCCGCCTTGCTGGGATTTCTTGAAGCCATTCAGAAGATTGCAGATGTGGCCAGTGCTGCTAGCTCATACGGTAAGTGCACGTACATCTACTGTGCTGTCTGTGCGATGACAGTGTTCCTTGTGCTGTGTCGGAGCGCTCGTCCTGTCGAATATCGTGCTATCCGTGTCTATTCGACTTCGCCACTAGGCGACGCTTGCTACCGCGATACGGTGATAACACAGAGGCTGAGCTGCCCGCTTGTGTCAGCGCTCCGTAGACAAGGCGTTGACGTCGTGCAGGTCTTGCCGTGTCCATGTGCCGCCAGCACCGCACCAGTGAAAGCTACGTGCGCTGTGCTGGCTCTGCGTCGTTCTTGAGACGTGCCTTCCAGACGGCAACGACCGGCTTGAGTGAAACATGGAACGGTGGTGCAGTGCTGTGGACCCAGGCCAGGGTCAGTGTGCTGTTCAGTACTGCAGCAGCACGGGCTATGACCAGGGTGCTGGTCGCGGTCATGTTGTTTTTATGTATGTTCGTTGTGGTAGATTACCGTGGAGAATGTCCGTGACAGCCACAAAGCATTACGCAAATTATTTGAAATTATCTGTGTGACTGCTGCTGCTGCTGCTGGGGAGCGCGAGCCGCTGATATTTCTTGTCGGCTGTGCCCTGGGAGATGATGTTTGGGCTTTGAGGAAGTGCTTAGCAGGCGTTGGTCGTCGGATTTATGTGCTTGTTGTAGTGGTGCACTCAAACTGGGAAATTCACGCACCCCATCTTGCATTCATTGCCCTGGATGTGTTGGGAGCTTTTGTTTCTCACGTGTACAAGTTTTGTGTGTAAGTGGAACGGCACTTGGCTAGTGCTTGATGAAGTGCATCGAAGCAAACCAGCTAGTACCACTTCCACTGGCCCACTACTGGCACTAGTACTGGCACTAGTAGTAGTAGTGCATGATAGCTGCACCTCAAAACGGCCCAAGGCTACCTTTCCAAGTCACAAAGTGCTGTCTAGCAGTGTACCATGTGATCGTTTTGACGATGACTGATGGTTATTAGTCCAGAGACTGTGTCTGTGTCTGTATCACTACATCGTATTACTACTAGTACTACTGCTGGTGTTGTCAGAGTTGCTTCTGTTATGTTGTAATCTCTGTACTTGAAATGGTAACATTGACGGAGCATAATCAATATTTCAATGATCGCAATTGAGTCAGACACACAACACAGTGAGCATAACCAAGCACGCCACTTCGGAACAGGAAGGCCTTTCTGCAGCACACTGCATGCAACAAGAGCAGCAACATTGTGAAGTAGATCTTTACTCAGATATTTCTCTGCCAGCTGAATGTCAGGTGGCGCAGTAACCACTGTGGCTTAGCTTGCCCGAATGCCCAGGCAGCACCACCTGTGTTTCCGCATAGCTAGCTGCTGCATGCTGGTATCAAAGCGGAATACGCTCAAACGAACTGTGTACAGTCACTAGTATCGGCGTGCCTTGTGAGAGGTGATAAGAGCAGCAGCAGGTAACCTGGTTTACCTGATTGTGTAGTGTGCAGCGGTGTAACTGTAGCTACTGTAGCTAGTACTGTATGTACATGACTGTATTCATTGTGGCAATAGCCAGGGATTATTCTTTAGCCACTGTGCCAAGTACACCCTGTACACCATGTAGATACTATGAATTCATTATTGTAACTTACAATTGTTGTAGTTGTGCGAGATCCCTGTCACTAGTGATCTGAGGCCAGGCCCAGGGAGCAACCAACCAACTACTAACTACTTACTTGCTTGTACTGTAAGCAGTGACATGTTTTCCTATCTCAGTTTGTGATTGTGCCTTGCTAGTAGTAATGACAGGGTGAGCCACCCCGCCTTTGAAATGCCATCCTCAAGTGCAGCTGTTACAGGGGTGGATGTACCACTGCACTAGTGCTCTAGCAGTAGCGTCTCACCACACGTGAATCTGAAAATAATTGAGTTTTCGGCTGTGGAGAATGGTGAATTTTGAGTGTGTGGTCGATGGCCGATTGGCTTGAGTCGCGTGTACATGAAAACTATGCACAAAGGGAAATGAGCAATGTGATTTGTGCATCACCATATTAGCTTGTTGCTGTAGACATGTGGCTGTAAATAAGTACTGTGTGAACCTGCTGTTGCCAAGTTGACCTCAGCATTGCACACTGTGACTGTAGCCGCAGGGTCTAGAGCGAGCAGGAGGGGACATGGTGGTGATGTATGTATGCACTGTGACATCCTGTTTGCACTAGCCTGGCATTTGCTTCAGAATCAGAGTTTCAGGTGCACGGTAGGACACGTACAGTGGAGGGAGAATGTGTTACTTGGTAGATTATTTGTGTTCATGTAGCAGCAGCTGAATGGTGCGCCGTTTCCTCTTGGACGGGCTGCCTTCCTCTGCATCACCCAGGTCACATGTTGGCAGATGTTTCACATGTTGGCAGATGTTTCGCGTAGAAAATGCGCTGCATTGGGTAGGAATTGCAAATGAACCATGAACCTCGACCCCGGAACCTCCCGCCATGGCCCCTAGCATAGGTCACTGGCTCGTCGTGGGGTATAAGCTTTTCCTCCGATCACTGAGAGGAATGCACACACCAAGCTTGCCATCCTGGCAACATCTCTGTGTGTTGTGCTCCCCAGTGCCTAGTGATGGGTGTATGCCTAGCATGAGCCATGTGCTTGAGTTTGCCTGGGGCACAAGTATTGCTACATTTCTATCCCGTGGCGTTGCCACACTGCTGCAGTGGTCTTTGGCTCACTCATCTGCATGACATATTCACAGTACTTGTCAAGTACTACTGTTTGAGCACTTCATCCACAAGTGTTATCTGGAGAAGATCTGGAGTGTTGCTAACTGTTAGGTTGTAGGAGTAGTATTAGTAGGAACACAGTCCTTATCACTTTATGTGCGTGTGGGCTGTGTGCATGTGTGTGTGTGTGTGCGCGTGTGTTCCCTGCCTGTGTTGACTTTGCAGGTGGAGCAAGTGACTTGGGAACATGTCTGACAAAGGTGGCCCTTCGGCATCGTGCCATAGCCGAGCAATATACAGCACTCTCTGGGTGTGTGATTGTGTATAATTATGGATTTGTTGCACTGTATCAGCTCCAATATAACCACAGTCTGCCTTAAGAGCAGGGTATCTCATTATACGTCCCCCCTGTGCGCCCTTTGAACAGTTGCGCTCACTGAAATCCGACCCGAAATGCAAAGCTGGCGCCCTGGACCAGTTCCGATTACATCATTGTATTTGTACATGTGTACGTCCAGCAGCATTCGTGCCACTGCCAGGGCGTCAAGGGCATGCTAGTTGAGGGTGCCAGCTTTGTACTTTGGGTCGGATTTCAGTGAGCGCAACTGTATGTATCCGGTACAAGCCAGGGATACATATTTGGGAACCGTATACAGGTCATGCACTTGTAGAATGACCATGCGTAAATTGACAAAAACTAAAGGTTGAAAATATTGACATGCCGGTCTCCAGTAGAAGCTCTGGATCAGGGTGGTCTGAAAAATATATTCCCCAAGTTTACAAATTAATGAGAGTCCTCCAGCTGGTCCCCGGGCTTATAATAGAAATACAGGGGCATAGCTGGTCCCCCTTTTAGGGGGGGGGGGGGGGGCATGGCCCCACATGTGAAGGATGGCTAGTACATGCTATTGATGGTCATCAGGTGCATGCTGAACCTAGGTCGAAATTTTTCGGGGGGTGCACGTGCCCCATGCGGGCTACGCGCCTGGAAATAGTATGTTATGTGCGGTGTACGCAATGAACAGTGTGCAGTGATGGCACATGTACATGATTGTGCCAATGGCTGCTCCTTCTTCTGTTGCGAGATATGTGGCTGGTTTGGTTATTCTCCACCATCAAACAGAACTAGCCATGACACACATTCACACCCACGAATGTCCACAGTGAACAATGAACAAGTGAGGCGTCAGTCAACAACAGCTATTATTGCCTAATGTATTTGTTAATGCATTTGGATTGGTTTCTTCTTCGATCATTTCAGAACTATTGGCGAGGAGGTGTGCAAGAATCTTATGACGAAAATGGAGCTACGACGTAAAACACTTTTAGCCGTGGAAAAGGAACATGACAAAGGTATGTCCCTCACACTGAACACGTCGTACACATAGCCAGACGACTGTGAGTTTCTTCTCGACTTACACTTCTGGTTCAGTTTCCTGTGTTTTATAGGTGCATGATCCCTGATGTTCATGCCTTGGCTGGCTGTGTGTGCAGTTGTAACATCATGTCCTTGGTGGCTGTACAATATGCAGTTGCACCAGTGCTTAATGATGCATTCACACCAGTGGCAATGGAAGAATATGGGTGGACGGTTTTGTTTTTGCTGCAAGCATGCCGCTGCATGAAGTAACTGTTGATGTGCCAGTTAGTGCTGCACCACACCTTGCACACACGCTCAGCAGGCTGTCACACTGCCTGTGTTACAGTCACAGTCGTGTGGGTCGATCCTGGCCCATCATGCTGGGATATGCCTTACCATCATGCTGGGATATGCCTTACCAGCACATGCTGGGATATGCCTTACCATCATGCTGGGCTATGCCTTACCATCATGCTGGGATATGCCTTACCAGCACGATGCACGACTTATACCTATACTATTAGTAGTCTAGCACCCATCATCTTAGAGACACACATTCTCATGCATATGTTGTTATGCTGTGGATATAGACGATGTGCCGTTTTCATTCTCTGCCTGCAGACTACAAGAAATGGAAAGTTGACTTGAAGAAGCGAAATGAGAGCAATCTCAAACTGGCAAGTAAGGCCACGGCAAAGAAGAAATGTAAGTCGCGGTGCTTGCTTGGTAACTTTCAATGCAATCACGGTAGCCGTCTTTCCACCTGCCCCAGGCCAGGCTTTGCAGTAGACTGCGTTGTCTGCTTTGATGATTCTGCTAGCTAACTTGCACAGTATCATTGGCAGTTGCTCTATCTTCTTCTGTTCCTTGCTATACGCCTTTACCATAGTGTACAATACCCTTCCTTGAGCTGCACCCTTCTAGTTAACTTGCAGAAGATCATTATTTCTATGTGCTTGCTATTCCTGTGTGTACTTCACAGCTGAGCGGAATGTAAATATCCATGAGAAGCTCGAGGAGTCTCTAGAGGTTAGTAGCTGTGCAGTGGCGGCCATGTTGTTGAAGAACAGTCCGTAACATCTGTTACTACAGTGATGGCAACTGAAATCCGACCCCTGGTGCTCATGCTCGAGTGCAGCAGCACCGGCTCTAGCGGTCTGGATCCCCTGGTGCTCATGCTCGAGTGCAGCAGCAGCACCGGCTCTAGCGGTCTGGATTCTGGTAGTGTACAAGCAGCGCGTGCTGGATTTGTTGCAATACGAGTGCACTGAGCTGGTGTCGGACTTCTGTTGCCACCACTGTAGTAAAGTAGTAGCCTGCAGATGTACTTTACCAACATGACTTGCACACATAGGCAACCTACATGTATGATAAACGGTAGAGGATGGTGACTTGGAAAGCTTCTGAAGGCTGTCATGTACTGGCGGAAGAGCATTTTATTTTTGTTATTACACGGGTGCATCATTGTGCTTGCTATCACAATCGGAAATATTGCTATAGCATCGTTACTTCTCCAGGCATTTTGTTAGATATTGATCTGAATCACTGGTGAGATGCAGCCAAGTTGTTGGCTTAGAGTAAGAAAAGGTCATGTTATGCATTTCCTTCAGTGCAGACATCCTCATCCTCCTCCTTCGGTATTCAGGCACACCTAGAACAGCTTAGCTGCGTTGCGAAATTACTTGCAGCTAGTTGGGAAAGGTCGAACACCGTAGCAGGGAACTCATTGTTTTGCGTGTGTGTGTGTGTGTGGTTTGCTGTGGTTGCTAATTTCATGTTCAGGATTCGGTCGAGCTGTACGAGGATTTCCAGACATTTGAACAGTCGTCACTGCGCAAAATGCTCCTAGAGGAACGAAAACACTATGGTGTTATCCTGGCTGCGCTGGCACCTGTCATGGTATGTGCCAGACCAGGCTACACGGTAGTGGACTGGCCAAGCTTGCTGTATGCGTGTCTGTGAGCACTTGCTGTATGCGTGCCAGGCCATTAGGCCAGGGTGCATGAATATCTGATGTACTTACTGCATGGTGTGCTGCCCAACCCACACAGTGGGCAAAGTATTGCATCTGCGTGTGAAGGTTTGGGTTTTTCCCATAGCTGTAGCCCCAGATCATTGTATTTCTGTGGGTGGAAGTGTGAAGAAGAACACAATGCCCAGGGATCCAGTGATCAGTCTTTGATGACTTGTTCTGGCAATGTCACTCACGCAGAGCTGCATCTATTTCTGGATTGGGATGAATTGTAATGCGCATCAAGGCGTTCTAGTGACACATACATAACTACGCTGCCCAATGCAGTCATCACTTGGGCAGGCCCAGCTCTAATTATTAACACCTGCTGTTTCTATTCTGTGTTCTATGCGAGGGTAGGACTCAGAGGTGACCGTCTTGGATGAGGTGTTCCACTTGCAGGAGCTCAGCTCACATTGTAAATCTCTCTGCTATGAAAACCTGCCAGCACATAGCGAACAGGCTGTCAACAATCTTCAATTGGACCTGGGCCGTCTCTTCAAGGAGGTGAGAACTGCTGGATTTTTACATGATCCTGATGCCGGTTAAAGTGTGTATGCGTGTGTGGTGTACATGGTATGTGTGTGTGTGTGTGTGGTGTACATGGTATGTGTGTGTGTGTGTGTGTGTGTGTGTGTGTGTGTGTGTGTGTGTGTGTGTGTGTGTCTGTGTGTGTGTGTGTGTGTCTGTGTCTGTGTGTGTGTGTCTGTGTGTGTGTGTGTGTGTGTGTGTGTGTGTGTGTGTGTGTGTGTGTGTGTGTGTGTGTCTGTGTGTGTGTGTGTGTGTGTGTGTGTGTGTGTGTGTGTGTGTGTGTGTGTGTGTGTGTGTGTGTGTGTGTGTGTGTGTGTGTGTATACTGGCTTAAATTTGGCCGGAAAATCCCGATTGAGTGTGTTACCAGATTGTATTTGCTGTGGTTTCTATTAGTGGATATGCTTCTTGTAAACGTTGGCTGAAGAATAAGATACTTGCTGGTCAGCAAGCAAGCGGTTATAACCGGGAAGAACTAGAACTAATGGTGTGAGAAATAGCAGGGACGTGATAGAAGATAACACGTAGGGTGAGGTCACTAAGGTGTGAAGGAAGAAGTGTGATAAGGAAAGGTGTACTAAGGAAGTGTGACAAGGAAAGGTGTACTAAGGAAGTGTGATAAGGAAAGATGTTACACTTATAATGTACATTTGTTGTATGAGATACAGCCCGTGGGTGTATGGAACACTGTTGTCTACAAATAGCGAGTCATTCGTCCTCAGAAGTGTCTAACCAGTATAGCAAGCCATTGCAGTGGAGCCACTAAAAGTCGTAAACCGAGCCTGCCCCCCCCCCCCCCCTGTTTACATTTGCTGCTGGACTTACCCTGTATTCATCCCATCACAGCCAGAAGCCAAGTTGATGATGTTTGCCTAAGAACAGCTCACTGTTTGTCCCCTTCCCAACATGCTGTGCTGCATTGTCTCTGTGTTGCAGGCACCTTGCCAGTCGCCAGCCATTGCTCAAGCGCGCAAAGCCAATCAGATGAAGCGCAACAGCTTCTTGTCACTGGCTTCGGATGCGCTGAGCATGGACACGGTGTCTCTGAGCAGCTCGATCAACCCGACCATCGCCAGCGACAACCTGTCGACGGCGGCCATATCCGAGGGCACCGATGTCAGCTCACCGTCGCTCAACGCCGTGCGGCTCGATCCGGACGGCTGTCCCGGTACCGGGTCGCCTGAGCCGGCGTATGCCGACATCGACACCATGCAGGACATGTGCACGCCGGTGGCGGCGGCTGTGACGACGGGAATACGTCACCAGCATGTTCTTCACATACCGCCGATCCAGCGCGCCGACGCGGCAGCGCGGTCCGACACTGCATCCACCGGCAGTGCGTCCGACTTGCAGAGCCTCTCCGTGTCCTCGCTCGGCAATCAGCCCATCAACCCGTTTGGACGCACCACCGCCCCCGATAACATAAGCCTGGCGTCTACGCAAACAGCAATCGGACCAGTTGCACCGCACCTCACGTTATCACGGACGTCGGCAAAGGATTCGCTTGCACAGCTGGCCAAGGTGATACCGCCAGTTGCACCGAAACCTCCTACTACAAGGGCGTCGGGTAGCCAATTGCCAGGAGACTCGCCGCCACCACAAGAGGTTCTGTACGCTACGGCCGGAGAAGCTGAGAGCGACTGGCCAAGCCCACCACCCATGGACCTGCCATCTCCACCGCCGGATATCCTGGACCTGCCGCCGCTCGATGACGGTCCGGCCACACCGAAGCAGATAGTAGCGCCGCCACCGGTAAAGAGCAAGCCTGTCAGACAGAGAGCCTTTTCTGAGAATCGTATGTCCCAATCTCTAGATTTCCTCTACAACCAGACTAGACAAGCGTTAGCTACCAAAAAGCCGTCGCCGACTACCCTGCCCGATGTGGATGAGTTCTTCCCTCCTCCACCTCCACCAGATGACAGTATTTATGATGAAGTAGGCGCCGATACCACAGCCGCAGTGGCATCTAATATCCCCTACTCGAGCTCATCCGGGGACATGGTGGGACGGTTACAGCCTGCCCTGATTCCAGCGTCCGCTTCTTTCTCCGTTTCTCACCAGCCGAGTCCGCCCGTCGAGCACCGGAGCATCGGCAGCCTCATCAGGCAGCGAAGTGGCTCGACGGACTCTGCGATGAGAAATGCAGCGGTGGCAAGCCGCTTGCCGCAGGCTGGTAGCCAGCAACGATTACGCTCCTCCAGCCGTCCACTTGAACCTACGACTGCGTCACACCAGATCAGCATGGATGTATAACCAATCTGTGCTGGTGCACGTTGTGTGCATGCACACGGTGTGTGGCTTGGTGACGCCGCGCAACAACTAGCCGTTCAGTAGTGTGGATGCCACTTAACCCTGTTACATTTTGAACCGTGTCCTTCCCAGCGCACGCATCCTAGGCTACTCGTGCAGCTTATTGCTGATGGAATCCCGACACATCCTACATCCCTCTCTAACCTACACACACACACACATCTGTGGACACATGCACCGCGCTGTGATTTTACGATATAGCTTAATTTAACGCTAGTTCTGGAGATAGGCTGTTGGTTTGGTCTGCTACAAGACGCTTTCACTACTCGCCTTGTATTGTATTCCTACGCTTCTGCTGCTGTGCAAGTTATCCATCTGATTGTGGCTAATTTATGAAAGTCCGCATCTATCTGAAGAGTCTCATCTGAAAACTTGGCCAGAAATTGGCAAGCAGGTTTCTGTCCAGTTTTGTTCAAGTCTAAGAGCTGTAATTGAAGGCCATCTTCTCTCTTTCTCCCCAACCTTCTGAACACGGTATTCTCATTGATGGGAGATGTCATACTTCGTTTCCTCTTTCCCTTGAGCTTATTCCCGCAGTATCTTATTATTGTTTTCGTTACCGAGTGCCTTGACCGCCGACAGAGAAGCTCTATCCTCCTAATTATGCTGTTTCCATGTGATGGTGTGTATCCAAGACTTTTTACCTTGTGAAATTGATGACCTATAATTCGTTTTGAGTGTGATTTTCTCTCCTATGTAACTCAGAATCCTCTTTTTCATGTTTAGGAGGTACTACCTATTGCTGTATTACATGTGTCAACAAACCCTGCATATCCATGATAGACAGCAGTAACCATGGTAACATATTCAGCATTTCACTCCTAACCAAAAAATCCTAGTATAGTGTGCACTGTGTGTGTGTGTGTGTGGTACATGGTGTGTGTGTGTGTGTGTGTGGTACATGGTGTGTGTGTGTGTGTGTGGTACATGGTGTGTGTGTGTGTGTGTGTGTGTGTGTGTGGGTGTGTGGTACATGGTGTGTGTGTGTGGGTGTGTGTGTGTGCGTGCGTGCGTGCGTGTGTATGTGTCCCATGTGGTACAGTGGTACAGTCAGACCTCGCTTAACCGCACACATCTGTTTTCCACAAAAACATCCAGATAGGCGAGGTAACCGGATAACTGAACACACATACTGTACATGCATGTGGCATGTCAAAAGCAGTGACATCATACATACAGGTAGACAGGTCCTATGCAGTACAACTAGCGTGCCCAGTATGTAAAACAAGCCAGAAAAATGACAAGTGCATGCAACTGAGTGCTGTCCGCACACACCCAGCAGGTCAAGGACCTCATTTGCTTGTACAACTCCTTGATACTAGCTTCTGCAAGCACTAGCCAGCGGCCTAGGGACCGGCGGATTATGCTCGAAAAGGTGGCAGATTCTGCTCGAAGAGCAGTGAAATTGGCAGAACCATACAAACCTTATGGCGGGCAATTCCTCAAATTCTGCTCTATTTCTTTATCCACATACCAAACATGCATGAAACTTACCAGAAGAAGTACCAAATTTCGCCAATTTTTCTGCCGGCAGAATCCGCCGAACCCTTGGCAGCCACATGCAACCGGATACGACGAAGCATTTTGTACACATTTTAACCAGTTTGTACACAAAATCATGCACCGGTATGCGGATTGCGAGGTCCGGTTATGTTGTATGCATAACATATGCTGCACATCGGTAACCAGCGATTTTCCTCCGGATGGTGAGGGATCCGGATAAACGAGGACCGGATAAACGAGGTCTGACTGTATGTGCAGTCGATGTCCAATCGAGAGGTTGCGGGTTCAATTCCCCACGAGTATGGTCACCCACGTCTTTCTTCTCTTTCTCAGACTCCTCCTGACTTTTTTTCATCCTCCTAGGTGGTTACCCACAGCGAGCGCATGCCGCACCGGAGTATGATTGTGGTGTGATGGGTGCATGGAAAAAAGAGAGAAAAAAGACCAAAAGGTAGCCAGAAAAACCACTTCAAATAGCTGTGTGGTGTAGACACTAGACCAGGCTGAATAGCTGGGGTCAATTCTTCAGCCTTGCAAGCTGTTGGATGGTGCAGTCCCAGCACAAGTTGCTATGGTTTCTGCGGAGCATCTCTATCATCGCCTCTGGCGATGGGTGTCAAAAGGTGTGTGTGTGTGTGTGTGTGTGTGTGTGTGTGTGTGTGTGTGTGTGTGTGTGTGTGTACATGCATGTGTGTTTGGTATGTGCAGGCGCCTGAGTACAAACATGTGACTTGTACGAGTCGTGTACATGTACTGTGTTGCAATCTGGATAGGGGAAATACCCCAATTTCCCCATAAAACTACACATAAACTACACGCCTCCAGGACCACATACTCGAGGACAATTCGAATGCTATTAGAATACTTCATCACCTTTTTGAGAAACATCGTAGAAGAGATGAGTTGAAGTATCCCAATAGAACGGTTGCTGTCAGCCTCACCATTTCAACGAGACTGTTCCAAGCTTGCCTTGTCGTAGGTACTACGGGAAATGCATACAAAAGGCAGTTCCACGCGGAATATTCCAAGCTCTTCTAAACTAATCCACCGATCCCATTGGATGGGGTCGTGGAGTTTTGAGGAGACTTTCGTTTTCTGAAGAGGCCACCTCTTCACAAAAATGAAGCTCCTCAAAAAGTCAAAGAGTGATAATTCGAACCCCCCCCCCCCCCCAAATGTTCGAGAGAGAGAGAGAGGGGGGGGGGGGAGGAGGGGAGGTGAGCACCAACCTCACTATGTCGAGCTCATTGAACCAGGAGGTCTGTAACACCGGCCTCTACGGTCAGAAGTGATCACAGGCGGCCTCTAACGCCTGAGCGAGCAGCCAAGACCTCAGACAGAGATACAAACTTGAAGTTAAAAGAGTATTCTATTACATGAAGATAGAAGCACCAGTAGTACCTGGTGATACACAGTCATGGTGATACACAAAGGTTAATATTCGAAATGCAACGACAGTATAGTATGTACACGATTGTTCGAAGTTGATTGATATCCTAGGGGTAAAGAAAATTTGGGAGGCGAAGGGCAATCGACAGTCGACAGAGTGCGAGTCGGCCCCTGCAATGTTAGTGAGTAACACAGTTAGCGTCTTTGTAAAACTGCTAAGCTAAAGTGTAATGGCTATTGGCTAGTTTCATGAGTAACATCGACGACATGAACACGTTCTACAACACCAGTATCAAGCTTCTGAAAATGGACACAAGACGGTGAAATGCGGTAGCAGATGTCAAGGTTCAATTTGTGCTGCATGGTCGGGCAAGGAAATTGAGCAAAGCACTATAGTTGGTACGAAGCGACGCACAATGTCCAGATGGCTCGTAAATTTGTCATTTTGAATATGTGAAAAAAACACGCATCAATAATCCTATGCACGATGTTTGCCACTACACAGGTCATGTGAGATAGGCAACGTAACGAATTGTTCATTGTTATGTCACTGCTGACCCACTACACTGTTGTGTGCAGTTAACTGTTCATTGTGGTGGCGTTGCTAGCCCGGAGATCACCGCAGATCACCGTGCTGTGTCAAACCCAAGCGGCAACAACTACACAAACCTTCTTCATCCCGCCTGCAGGATCAGGGCCGCCTGGTATCCTCGAAAACACACGTCTGCACCGCGAGAGCATGTGGTGCACATGCATGCTTGCATGTGGCTGGAAACGAAAACCTGGTGGTTTCCTGTCATGTCCTGGGTAGCTCTGAGTAGCACGTGGCTACAAACTGTATGAGTAGCACTGACATCAGCACTGTACTCACACACACACACATTGCTGATTGCTGTACTCACACACACACACACACATTGCTGATTGCTGTATTCACACACACACATTGCTGATTGCTGTACTCACACATTGCCGATATGCTGACTACACTGGTGCTAAGAGAACATTTAGACCCTGTACATGACAAAACACACACACACACAACACACACACACACACACACACACACACACACACACACCATACACACACACACACATATACACATACACATACACAGGTTGGTAATAGCTTTGGACATGAGCAAGTAGTGGACAATGCTAGGAATCACTGCCTGTACGTGCGTGCATGCGTGCACACAAGGGGAGAGTGGGGGAGAAATAGAGATGACTGAGACAACAGCTTCAACATAGAGGACTGGCATACCGCTAGCCATAACTAAATTATGGTCTATATTTCAACGTCCACAAGCATACTTTATTATCACAAAGAAAAGACACAGTGTCTCTTACCACCGGTTCTTGGAGATCAAGTGGCACAACGGAGGAACACGCCAGAGCACTTTCAAAGCAGAACAGGTGAAGTCGACACTGCAGAAAATGACATGGATAGCAAGCAGCAACCGGGGCCACAAATGAATTGGCATCTTGTGCATGAAGCCGGGCCTGTTGTGTCAACAAACGCAAACACACGGGGTAGAGTTTGTTGCAGGGAGTCGTACCATGTTGCGACTCCCTGGTTTGTTGCTTATCTTTCAAAAACCCCAAAGAGAACAGACTTCTTGTCCAGAGCAAGGGACATCCACAAACTGCGATGCACGTGTGTACTAATACGCGCACACACGCGAGTGCCAAGGGCAATGCGTACGACAGGCAGGCCGGATACGGATAACGAATATGGATAACGGATATGGATAGCGAATCTGGATAACGAATCTGGATACCGGATACGGATAACGGATACGGATAACGGATATGGATAAGGGATATGGATAACGGATACGGATAGACCAATGCCTAGGTACCTTGGGAAGATAGCGGACGGTTGCCATGCGTCGTCTTGTGTCCACCTGTCGAGCGGTGCGACTGCTCAGTGCGCTGGCTGAAAACGTGACAGGCTTCTTCCTGGACACGACTGCATGGGAAGATCGGCATGGCCCTGCTCCGTCACAGGAAACAGTATCCATGGCCGTTGATGCGCTGCTATTAGAGCCATCTGTCAGCGCTACAGGGACAGTCGGTGCAACCGGGATAGTTGGTGGGATAGCGAGTGCAAGCTGACACTGCTGTGCACCTGTTGCAGATTCAACTTCTTTGACAGGGGTGATCACCTTCTGCAAGAACTTGCGTTCGTACGTGGGGCACGCCCTCCAGGTACACTGTAGGAGCACGGCCGCCTCTCTGATGTGAACGAAGCGATGACGTGCTTGTCTCATCCGCCATGCTGAACACAAAGATACGAACAGAAAAAACACAGCGTTCCTCTCCATCCGAAACCCCACACTCAAAGCATGTCCATGTGCGTTGGGTAGAGTTTGTAGTCATTGCTGCAATGGCTGCTACAGAAAAACGAGTCTCGCACTTCATTTCGCGTGCAGTGAGAGTCGCGTGTGAGTCCGCGACAAGTTGAACCCGAGTCAACTTTCCGTCTTACGACATGTTTCCCCTATACCGACCGGCCTACGCGAAACAAAGTGTGAAAAGCAGAGCGTAGTTCGGATAAAAAAGAAGAAAAAAAGTGAATCTGACCCCGACGTGATTCGAACACGCAACCTTCTGATCTGGAGTCAGACGCGCTACCGTTGCGCCACGGAGTCAGCTGACATCTAGTGGCACAACTGGTCAACAAGAAGTAACTCTTGATCAAGTAATCTACGTGAACATTTGTCACACTTTATTGGATTTTTAACCTTGGTTTATTCACTTGATCACTTCAGTCCCATATTTCCACTGATGATCCGAGCTTGAAAATCAATTCTGGAAAGTTGTAAACACACACTTTCAAACCTCTAACAAGTTGTCATGTTGGGCGGCGATGTCTGCGGTATTCATACTTTTCATACTTGGCAGGTTTTGAATATTAAACTCTTGATGACATCAAGATAGACGATTTTGGTTTGGTAGTCAAATATCAAGAGAGCTCAGTTCCAGTTCATACCACATGTGTGTGCGTATGGTATAATACTACTATTCATCCAAACTCCTGAGTAAGAAGCCAGCCGAGTTTTTCTCTCCAACCGTCATCCCATCCAGCAGATAGAGTGCGTGCAGGCGGCGGCAGCGATACCACAGGCAATGCACTAGTAACTTACTTGCTTGTAGAATGGCAGCGGCTAAGTGTCTGCGGTGCAGGACACGGCGCCACCAGACCTGGAGACGGTGCGCACTATGGCACAGAACAGATTCACGCAGGCGCTCCAGCTGCAGTACCTGCGGCATCGCACACCGCGGCAGACAACACAGTCAATTTTAACACCGTATTTCCCAGAACATACGGTAAGTAAAATCACTTTACACTCAACCTCTAATGCCTAAAAAGTCTCGGCGTACAATTGAGCATGAGTTACTGCTTGAACCAGGCAAGTATATGTATCAGGCCAATGGAGACCGTGAGGCTGGACTGTGAAGTTTAATACTGTAAACTGCCTGATGTTTGCGACGTATTAATGTTTGCCAATTTTGCGAGAAGAGCAGAACGCAAATATTAACCATCGTGAAATCAAACTTCAACCGTGAGTGTATATCGAGCTTTTTTTTGTCAAGATGTAAGGGTCTAGTGGATGGCTACAGTGGAATCTTCGCACTTTGAGAAACATAGAGAATTAGCATTTCAAGTCTTTAGCGGTGTGATCCGTAGGCTACTCGTCCAGTGCAGCTACTGTACAAGCAGTAACAGGCACAGCAAACATATTCTGTTCTGCTTATAGTATCAGTACAGTATGTAGAGAGAGAGAGAGAGAGAGAGAGAGAGAGAGAGAGAGAGAGAGAGAGAGAGAGAGAGTGCTGGCACCAACCTGTGACTCCTTGAGGAATATCTTGGTATGTCCCATGCACGCTACTTGCTGCAGGTCGGAGTTCCTCGTCACTTTCTCTGCCAGCACTGGTGAGTTCTCCTTGGCGCACTCGTCCCACGTGGGCACCCTAAGGTCGCCGTGCCCAAGCAGGGCAGCGGCAAGCAGCGCCGCGGTGCGCACCTTCTCGCCCGTCATCAGCACCGACCTGTCTTCCGGCGCGTAGCGTTCCTGCGACTCCAGGCGACGCTTGGTACCGCGACTGGGCCGACGCGGTGTCGTGCCGAGACTGGAGCCAGTCTGTGATGTCGCCGACGCCGACGCCGCCTGCGCATGCAAGCGAACACTGCTGGTGGACAAACTTCTCCGATCGGTCGACGAAGCGGAAGCGGAATCTGTGGAGTCGTGACCGTCGTTGAACTGCAGACTCTTCATCACGGAGTCGCCACGCGGAGTATTGACGGCTTGCTCGGGTATGGCTGTCGGTATAGTGCAGCCAGGTCGCGTTGAGAGAGATGTGTGAATGGTCAGCGATGAGCCAAGGTCATTCGAGTCTATCATCTCCAGTGGACTCCGGCATCTCTTGTTCTCGGGCCAGACCAGCGGTGTTCCCTTCGGTGTCAGAACCTTGAGGACCTTGTGGTGCTGGCTGAGGCGATTGCGCCGCAGAATGCAATCATAGCGGCCAAGGAATTCACTGTACAGGAGTCTGGAGAGAGATAGAGAGAGATGGGGGGGGGGGGGAGGGGGGCACAGGAACACAAGCATCATTTACAGGTGAACGGCATTGGACTATCGGGACAAGGGGAACATGGCCTTTTATGTGAACGAAGCAGCGGAGAGGAACAAAGTGTGGAATGCCGTATTGAGCAGCAGCAGCATAGGGTGTATAGCCTGCATGGTCACTATGGGGAGTAGAGACGCTTCATTTTCGTTTAAGACTTTGAAAACAAAAATATTTCAAAAGTACATGTAGACAGTGTGGAGCACGCCATTCCCTGATGCATCTACCTGCATCATGCCTGCAATAATGCCATTCCCTGATGCCTGTACCTGCATCATGCCTGCAATAATGCCATTCCCTGATGCCTGTACCTGCATCATGCCTGCAATAATGCCATTCCCTGATGCCTGTACCTGCATCATGCCTGCAATAATGCCATTCCCTGATGCATGTACCTGCATCATGCCTGCAATAATGCCATTCCCTGATGCATGTACCTGCATCATGCCTGCAATAATGCCATTCCCTGATGCATGTACCTGCATCATGCCTGCAATAATGCCATTCCCTGATGCATGTACCTGCATCATGCCTGCAATAATGCCATTCCCTGATGCATCTACCTGCATCATGCCTGCAATAATGCCATTCCCTGATGCATCTACCTGCATCATGCCTGCAATAATGCCATCGCCCCATAGTTACTACGGATCTTACAAGAATACTGTACGTGACATACGAGTAACAGCAGACAATGCAATCTTTGCAGTTTAAAAAAAAACTATCTATATCCTGCCTCGGATACTTATCATGGTTCATCTGCTTAGTTTTGTACAAGAACTATAGTACTGTATAAGCAGAAATATTAGTCTGGAATTTAATTTCGTCTTTTTCGTCCAAGGAGCTTTTGGACTAAATTAAATGCCAGACTAACGTCGATTTGACCAGCTTTTCAATACACTCTCATGATCCATGGACGAAATTTACAACCGGACAAACTCTCTTTCTTTGGAGTTGGACGAAATTATTGACCGACGAAATGTTCTGCCTGTACAGTAGTACAGACTAGCCGTACGCAGCAGCAGCAGGGAATGCTAAGTTACTGGTGTTCATGCTCACCGGACCGGGAAGCCTGCGTGTGATATGGTCACCGTCTCAAATACACTGCTGGCAGTCAACTGAGCTGACACCTGTAGCGGCAGTACAATCAGAGATATAGTTTTAGTTACGGTACATGTAATGGTGGGAATCACGAGTAGGGAACAAAACACACCCAATCATACATATAGGACCGTCACCGGGCATGAGTTGACTGCCGACTTCTAATCATGCGGCTACCTGTTTAAAAAAGACTTGTTTTACAACAAAAAAACACCTACATACACGTGTACCAGCTTACGGCGCTCGAACATACCGTGTCCCTGAAATCCTGAAAGCAGATCATCTCACTCACTAGCCAGGGGTTATGTGCGCCGATTATTTGTAAAAAAAATTGCATCGTGTCGCGTGGTGCGATGCACATGCACGTGTACGTGTACGTGTATACTCTGATGTGTGATGTAGGATAATGCATAGCTGATGTGTGATGTAGGATAATGCATAGCTGATGTGTGATGTAGGATAATGCATAGCTGATGTGTAAAATTGATAGAAGGAATGGTGGTAAAGGCAACGCTGGACACAACTCACAAGCTTCTGATCAAACTGGCAGGGTCGCGATGACGAGTTCGGCTTGATGCAGCGAATGTAGTGCGGAGTTGTGCTATCCAATACTTGAGCTAGTGAATCCACCGACGCCTAGCAAAAAAAAGGACATAGTAATGTGGAGAGAAAGTGGAGGTACCCACTGAGGAATGAAAGCGCCTTGACACTGGCTTTAGGGCACAAAGCTCTTTGAATCCACTCAACGGTGTCTGAGAGAGGTGGTGTGTTTGTAGGAGCACGTCGGCAAGTGTGTGTGCGTGTGTGTGTGTGTGTGTGTGTGTGTGTGTGTGCGTGTGTGTGTGTGTGTGTGTATGTGAGAGAGAGAGAGAGGAGGAGGAGGAGAAGGAGGAGGAGGAGGAGGAGGAGGAGGAGGAGGAGGAGGAGGAGAGCACACATGAACAGGAGACTCAAAACTCAACAAACTACTTTCTAACTAGGTCATCCAGGCAGAAAAACAAAAACAAAACAAAAAAAACAAATGTCTAACCTTGAATTTGGAAACAACAGTCTTTCTCTTGAGACCCTGGCGGCGTGGTGTGGAGCCATTTGCACGGACAGGTGAATCAACCTACATAACAGAGATCGGTGACGTTATAACAATAATCCTCAGGATTGAGTAACATTCCAGTGAAAGCCAACACCTATTGCATGTCAACTACAGTGAAACCTGTCTAAGACAACCGCTCGGGGGACCTTCCAAAATTAATGTGGTCTCTGTTGCCAGGTGGTCTCCTTATCCAGGGTCGTTTGACTGAAATAGCATCCCTTGGTCCTGGTTGTGGTGGTCTTCTGGGGCAGGTGGTCGCCTTATCCGAGTGGTCACCTTATCCGAGTGGTCACCTTATCCGAGTGGTCACCTTATCCGAGTGGTCACCTTATCCGAGTGGTTGCCTTAACAGGTTTTACTGTGTGCTTTATAGTACAACTACTAGCAAAAGTAAATGAACTCGGATGGAGAGCCACGGATTAATTTATCGAAAAGAAAAAGGACCAAGGAACTACAAGTTACGCTATAATGTCCACTAACGCCACCAGTTACTAAACAATCAGCTCATGTTAACGCATGTCATCGCATGAGCTGATTGTTTAGTAACTGGTGGTGTTAGTGGACATAATAGCATAACTTGTAGTTCCTTAGTCCTTTTTTTCTTTTCTATAAAAGTAAATGAGCTCCCAAGAGTGTGGAACTCAGCCTATGGGGTCTCCAGCAGCGAAATTTCACACCACGTGTTCCAAGTACGTTTCGTAGTAAGTACAACGTCGGCTAGGGTGCGCCCAGTCCGTATATCTGCCACAATCATGCTGATTACGTTTAGCATTTGCATACGCTGAGTGGATTCGGCTATTTTAATTAATACTCATCTGATCGCGAAAACAGGCTGGGAACGCACAACGTGAACTATACCACATGATGTGACTTTCGACCTTTCGCCGCCGTTGCCAGACCCATAATAAGGAAGAATATCCAGAGTTGAACTCTCTTGAGAGTATATTACTCCTGCTACTAGACTTACCGTGGTGGCCGACGTAGTAGCTGCTGCAGCTGCAGTGTCATCACACTGATCAGCAAGCGATACGATGAAGTCCTTTGACGAGTGTGAGAGCAGACCAAGCAGGTCGGACGCAACATTGTCCTGAGGCATCAACGAAAGCAGGTGGAAGGGAAACAGATACATATACAATCAGCTACAAAGAGGTTCCTTTCCGCCAGCGGAGAGGGCTCAGCACAATAATGTGGTTCACTATTAGTACACACAAAAGGCAGCAAAAGAGGTTTCTAGAGTTTGTTTTTCTAGAATGCATTTGGCGTGTATACAACCAGCTATGGTGAACGTAATGGTACAGTCCCAGACAGCAACGTCAAAAACTAATGAAGTTACTCCTAGAGACAATACCGCATAACAGCACCTCAATGAAAGAAGTACTCAAACCTCTTTGTTAGAATACAATCTGCCCCATGCTGTATTTACCAGCACTCTGTGTATGCAGCCTTGGTGTTACATGTACCTTGTTCTTCTCCACCAGCTCTCCTGTAGAATAAACAACAGTGCCAGCATAGTGGCTGACTTGGAACGCCGGCTCATTCACTTGGTTGCTGGGCGGGCGAGTGATGACGGCATAGTTGGCGCTCTGAATGCTTGTTAGCAGCCGACCGGCAACCGCCTCTGAGTCCATGTTGCGATTGAGTTGACACTCCTGGAATGGGAGGGAGGGGGGGGGGGGGAGAAAGAGACACGATGTGCGAGTTGCAGCACGAAAAAGGGAGAGGGAGAGAGAGAGAGAGAGAGAGAGAGAGAGAGAGAGAGAGAGAGAGACAGAGAGAGAGAGAGAGAGACAGAGAGAGACAGAGAGAGACAGAGAGAGAGACAGAGAGAGAGAGAGAGAGAGAGAGAGAGAGAGAGAGAGAGAGAGAGAGAGAGAGACAGAGAGAGAGAGAGAGAGAGAGAGAGAGAGAGAGAGAGAGAGAGAGAGAGAGAGAGAGAGAGAGAGAGAGAGAGAGAGAGAGAGAGAAACAGAGAGAGAGAGACAGAGAGAGAGAGAGAGACAGAGAGAGACAGAGAGAGAGAGTGAGAGAGAAAAAGAAAGAGAGAGAGAGGGAGAGAGAGAGAGAGAGAGAGAGAGAGAGAGAAAGAAAGAGAGAGAGAGAGAGAGAGAGAGAGAGAGCCGTATATGCTACATGGTAGGAATGATATCACAGCACACTCAGAACATGGTCAGATATCGGTGGCAACAAGTAGACACAAATGAGCAGAACACATCCATTCACTACTAGTGCTAAAGAAAAGCTACCGACAGAAGCGGTTAGCTGTACACGCGATACTGTATGGTATACAGTGGATATCGGTTATAAAGTCATCGGACATAGTGATAAACCGGCTATATTGATACAAAATGAAAATATCAAAAGCAAAACCAGAAAAAGCCAGTCAAATTATCATTATAACCAATATATCGTATATAGCGATAAATCGGCTATAAGGATACAGAATCACCATTCAAAACACCTCTTTGTGCAGAAAAATTATCGTCTATAGTGATAGCAACACACGAGTGTGAGGCATTGATGTCTCGATTTGGAGCCACATGTGTGTTGTCATAGGGTATTCTGGTCTGGTGCTTCCTGGATGATGCCTTTGGGCCAAGAAGTTCTTCACTCTAGACTGGACAAGGTGCAGTAGCATCCATCACGTATCAGTACGCTACATTAGCGCGATCGAGTACCCACACGTGTATAATGTGTATGTATGACGCGAGCAGTTGAAAATCGCCTGTAGTGATATACCGGTTATAGTGATAAAATGTGAAAAATCAGAAGGGCACGTTATAACCAGTATCTACTGTAATACATGGAAGGATGTGTAGTGTGTCATAAAGCCTTAACAAGCTTAGCTCACCTCATTGAGGACGGCAAACACCCCCGAGCGTCCATCCATGGCCACCAAGCAAGCAGAGTTGTCCTGGTAGTCCACCGCAGTCCAGTCTAGACCTTCAGCACCATACTCAGTCTGGAGAAAGTGTTAACACAGCGTAGTTACACACACACACACACACATACACACACACCGGCCAGAACGATTGTCAAGGCTCGATAATCACTACTGTACTATATCCGATGTATCACTGTACTGTAGCTACTGAATGCCAACACATGCCGGTGGCTAACACAATCATTGCCATTCATAATGCCATCACAATATCGCAATGACCAGATGACTGCACCAGAAACTCAAAATGCGCAAGTTATGTGTACATGCATGCCAATATAGCACCCGTATGCACACACACATACAATCCCTGGCTGCGCTTTGGAACTGTTTTCGTCGCCTACGTCCTCATCTCTCTTCGCTTTGTTTTCGTTGCCTGCGCCCTCATTTCTGGTATTCTCACAGTGGCACCTTGCAGAGCATGTAGTCAGTGCTAATCAAGCACACGGTTGTAAGAGCGAAAACTGGTTTGTGGAAAACATTCATTGAGTCCTGATGATGGTGGTGAAGAGTATAAAATCTGTACTTCGAAGTATTTTTTTTCCTTGCCACGTTTGTATGCAGTCAGCCTTACCTGCTGTGACTTGATGAAGCGCTGCACAAAGAGATTGTGAAGTCGCTCGTTGGCATAGTTGATACACAGCTGCTCAAGGCTGTTGCGAGCAAAGTTTTCAAAGCCATACACATCGAGAAGACCTGCAACATGAGAAACATCAGTCATCGTAAGTAAAATAAAGTAAATCAAAACCGTCATATTGAACAAGTGAACGTGCACAGGTGAACAGGTGAGCAGGCATAGAGGCACATCGCAACTTGAACTACCGGTACCCTTGTATGTACTTCGAAGTACTACCGTCATGTGTAGCGTTCTCCACATCAAATCCTGGCAGCAACAGGCCTTCTGTTTTCGCTGACATTCTCTCATCCAAGCCTGCGCACAGTGTCTGCTATTGTAGAAACCCGGTTACGTGAGACACACAACTTCCCTCTCACTACTACTACAGTACATTTTCTAAAGCATAGAAACAATAATGTCACATGCAACATCTGCAGCCTAGTAGGGTACTTGCACAGTTTGCACAACAGATATCTAAAATACCCAATAGATGTGGCAGCCTTAACAGTTGGAAACCAGCCGATCCTAACAAGGAGACTAAATCTTGGCTGAGATAAAACACGTTGTTGCTAGCGAACAAGAAAAGGAAAGGCGCGGAATTATGAAGCGAAGAGAATTCCGCTGGCCTAGAAAAAATCAAGCAGAACTCAAGACCTTGCAGAAAACTGGAAAAAAAACTGTACACATAATTATTATGACTGCGGTAACGCTGACAATACATGTACATGTGTAGCGTTGGCACGCTGGTGACCCTTGTGTATTCTTGCCTCCGAGAGACTGCGGCCCGCTACACATGTACACAGATTGAGTATACTACAGCAGAAAACTTACCTATGAAGGCGTGTGAATCAGGGCCCGAAGAGCACAGACTGTCATTGACATACGCAACAAGCCAGTCAAAGAGTCTGGGCAGTGATGCAGCAAAAACAACAACAACAACAAATTAGTTATGCCATCATCCACTAGAAATTATGATTGTCATATTGTTGCGAAGTCGCTCTGCATGGGAATGTGTGTAAAGTTTTGATGGCTAGTTAGAAAAATAACCACAATATATTTGTAACAGCGCACCTTATCCTTTGGATGGGGACTGAGAAAGAAAAGATGAATAGGTCGAAGAGAGAAAAGGAGAGACTGACCTTGAGTAGACCAACTTGGCAATGGCGTCGCGCCTGTTCCGACACTCCGCCGGCTCACAAGGCTTGCTGAAGCTCTCACAGTGGGCAGCAGTGGCACGCAGTGACGCATTGGCACCGGCTGTGATCTGACGATGGGAGATGGTCTTGAGCAGCAGGTCCGATGAAAGCCCTAGCAGCTCGGCACCATGACGCAGGTCATCTATGTCATGGTTGGAAAGAAGGATGAAGGGCAATCAATGCCAAACATACCCAATGTGAAAATGAACACACATTCCAAGAAGGCCAGGGGGTGTTGAGCAGTCTGGCACGATGAGCTGCTCACACTTGCAATGGGGCGGTAGTTGTTAGTGGTTCAAAAAGTTGTTATTGTCGTGATTCTGTCGACTGCTGGAACTGATACTACATGTAGAGTAAACCACCTGTCAAGGCAGTGACCACTCGGATAAGGTGACCACCTGTCCAAGAAGACCACTGAAACCAGGACCGAGGGCTGCTATTTCCAGTCAAATGACCCTGGATAAGGAGACAACATGGTAATAGAGATCACGTTTTGAAGGTCCCTTGAGCGGTCGTCCTACTTGTAGATATGTTCCACTGTATATAAAACTGCCTCGGAGCTGAGATTGGATGTTCCAGCATGCAGTACCAACTACATGTAGGTGACAACATGAACGTTGTGAACAATGTACTATGTACTATGTACTACGACTGAGCATACCGCTGTCTGAGACATCTTCCGTGAAGTCCAGTTCGCCGAGATGCAGCAGCGCCGACAGCAGCTGTGATGGAGCAAGAGAAGTACACGCAGACAGAGACAGAGTGGTCTTGCTAAACATACCGGTACATTGTCTACCTTCATGTGAGTGCCTGCATGAACACTAAAGTATGTGAGTGAAAGTTGCACTCCCTTGCCAATGAGGTTTGTGTGTGATTTAAAAACCAATACTTTGTGAAAACTGGGCCAAGCCAATACTTCGTGGAAACTGGGTCAAACCAACACTTGATGGAAACTGGGTCAACCTAATGCTTCGTGAAAATTGGGTCAAAAATTAGGAAGCTATAAATGACCTGGCTACCCAAAATGCAAGAAGAAAAGGAAAGAAGCAGGAAACATAGTTTGGACAGGTCTACTTCTCATCACAAACTGCTCATCAACGTCACTGATGAGAAAGTGACTGTACTCCTTACAGCGCCAATGTCCTTCATGACCGACTTGCTCACTCCCACACTTTGCAATGCCGCACACGTCTCTTGCCACGCATCAGTACCTGGCACAAGCAAAGCAAACAGAAGAAGAAAAAAGTGGACACATGGTTGCAGTCGTCAGTGCTGCTGCAGGGCAAGTGCCTAGCTAAGCGGCCTGTGTGAATCACATGACATTGTAGATCTACAACTGAAAGGCATACACATGTGTACAAACAAACGGCGAGGAGACAATAATTTGACAACCGCAATCAATAAGCTGAATCGACATTCGTGTATAGTTTATTCATGCAATGTAAAACGTTGGAGATAATGTGCAATATAACGATGAAAGTGGGAAGAAATTGTCTCCACCGTTTCACATAGCATGAATAAAGTATACACAAATGTCGATTCTGCTAGTCTTATTGATTTGCGGTTATCATGTGTACAAAGCAATTCTTGAAGCCAGCCTCTTCCATGGACAAATGTAAACACAGAAGTAAACAAAAATGTGATTGATGCGGTAATAGAAGGTGATCCTATGGAGCCATACCTGCGTCTTTTGGTATCACTTTGCCCAGGTGCGTGCCCCGTATGGGGTCCTGGGTGCCCGGAACCCCCGCCCCCTTTTTTCGCTCAAAATGCAGGATTTTGCTTCATTTTTTGAAAATGTTCCCGGGGGAGGCCCCCGAACCCCCCCCCCCCCCTTGAAGGGCACCAGCGCACGCGCCTGTTGCCAGTTCATGTACAGCGACATCAGGCAAGATGCATGCACAGGGGGTGACGGCCAGTAGCTATTTGTTGAAGATGCTGTTGCATGTTTCTGGCACTGCACCGGTTGTGCAGAGATTGTGGCCAGATCAGAGTGCATGTGTAGCGACCGGGATACGTATACACATGTTCATTCAAAGACATGCAAGGAAGTTGTGAGTGCAACACCGGAAAGAGAACATGAATTACTACTGTACAGGTCTGTCCTCGTTAGTAGACAACCCCGGGGGCTTCAAATTGCTTGTCCTATAACGAATATTATCTACTATCCGGACATGAATGTACGCGTTTCAAGCGTCAGGGGATTTTAGATAGTTGTCTACTAATGAGGTTTGTCTGGTAACCGACATGTCGTACTAACGAGGATAGACCTGTACATGTACTGGCAGTGCAGTCACTCACAGGATGAGCCTCCGTAAGATACAGGATGGCTTGCTTTGGGCAGCAGCCGGTACTTGGATCCTTCTGGCAAGTGCCAGAGTTGCCTCTCCTCGTCGCTCGCACCGTTGACGAGCTGGGTGGAGGTGACAGGCGGGCATGGTGCACACAAACAAAACATCACCGAATGATCCAAGAAGAACACACAGAGTGAAAGAATCAGACAAGGAGAGAGATGGAGAGAGGTCCAAGGCCAAAGAGACGGATTTCCTTCAAACAGGACTGTTTTACAAGCTTCCAAGATCCTTGATGAGCAACGAGCCAAAACGTGAGGATCTACAACGGCAACTAAACTCCTTCAATGTTATCCCAAGCAGGGCCTCTAGTAAGTTTTCAAACCCATGTGACCAGATAAAGGTAATCTAGTCAACCGATTATCACCAAATTTACCTGATAGAAGACATGATAATTGCCTTCTCCATCGGCCTGATAGGTGACGCGGGTCTTCTCCATCAAGTATGTCTGCATCTCCGCACTGACAATCTGTCCATTTCTAGTCAGCACAAACATGGTCAAAATAGGCACAACAGTATGTCGCCCCATCGACACAAGCCCAAAAACAAAATAGGCACTGCTCAAACAACAGCTGGCCCCAGAGCATAACGTGTTGTCACTAGGCTATCACTCACCTGTCGTACTGTAGCTTGATGTACTTGCCAAAGCGACTGCTGTTGGAGTTACGGCACGTGCATGCATTGCCTAGTGAACGGCATGGCGGAAAAGAGAGAGAGAGAGAGAGAGAGAGAGAGAGAGAGAGAGAGAGACTGGCTTCGACAAGTACTACGTTCTTAGTGAAATATTGATTGGAATAATTCACTGAAAGCTTCATACAGCTACACAATGGAGGTAGAGTGATCGTGTGGTACTAGCACATGTGTGTGCCGACCGCTCAATGGACCATTGTAGTGTGGCTCATATGTACAGGTGGGCACCATATGCAGGAGAAACCTAGGACTGAAATTTCCATAAGCAACCATCAAAGAGCCTGTGGAAGTGCATTGGGCTGGGGATTCTCACCAAAAGCTTCCAGCAAGGGATTGGACATGACTATCTTGTCGGCAACTTCCCGCACCTTCTCGCTCCTGCAGGGCAAAAAAATGGTTACAGGTAAACGTGGCATGTAGTCACCGAAATGCTGTCCACTCTGCTTCGTGTGGTCCTCCAATCCTACACCCTACGCAGTAAGGAATAGCATTAGTTTCGCAATGAGTTGTGCATCTGTGTCCATTCCCAGCACAATCAGATAACTGAGTACACATAAACAGGCGGAGCTGTGTCATGCCGTGCACACATCTGCATCCGTGACCAAGGTAGCGCAGCTTTCAGAATAACTCTGACAACATAGGAAAGCGATCCAGCTGACAAGCTCTTTTCCACCGCTCTACAGACACTGAACACGGGTTTCATGTACATTTCAACAACGCGGCGGCAGTTCTGCCATCATCAGGTCACAAGAATCCAGTGTGCTGACCAGGCAAAAGAGTGGCTATATTTATACAGGCAGCTGTACAGAGCAGAAAGCGTGAGTCAATGTGCTCTGAAACTCGCTGAAAGTTGGTATTCGTGTGCTAAACAAAGATCTGAAGTGAAGAGCATCCAAGCTAAGTATGCACCCTCCACAATCACCCACGCCACTTTTTTCTGGTGACAAATTCACGTATCAACAGTGTAGACTGGTTACCTATACCATAAACATTAGAAGGATTAGATATTTGTAGAGCTTGATGGTTAGTAAGGAAGAGCTTGATGGCTTCAAAGCAGCGACCAGCCAGCGCTAGTATTGACAGTGTCCCTGACTTTCGAGATATACCTGCTTCACGCACAGTTTTCGAGCTGCCCTATCACCTTCACAACTGCAAGTAAAACCTTCATAACACCATCTGATGATCTCCATGCTCTGACACGCTGAATGTGAAGTGGACAATGGACAAATCCACACAAAACCGTATGTAGGCTGACCACAACTGACACGCACTACATGTCATTGAAGAGAGATGCTGACGGTTGCAGGAAAGCTGAGGAACCCATGGCACTTACATTACTGCACCCTGGCAAGCGCTGGTCATGACAAAGTACTCCATCAACGACCGAGCGCTGAACGTCTGCAGCAAGAGAGAAGTGAACGTGACACAGGACAGGGTTGCGTCAATCAAACCAGCTGATAAAGATCTCACCGTGCTGTTCCGTTCTTTCCACAGCGCGTGAATGGCTCTGCACGCCGTGGGTCGGGCACTAGCACAGCAACAATGCCCACCTGTGTGGCATTGCACTGGATATGCTTAGGAGACACCAATAAGGCTCTTGGCCAAAAAAAGGATTGAAATGATACAAGTTTGCAGCAAAGAGACCACTTGCGTTTAGGGTTTTCCATGTTATGAAGTGGCTGCAGTAGAGCTTGACGGAAAAGACGATTCGAATATAAGCAGGTATACTGTTCAAGCTAACAATAGGTGGAAACTTAAAAGCATGCCTCGAAGAGAGCAACATTGCGATGTGCCGGTGCAGTAGGAGTGCTGTTACTCACTTTTCCAGCCCCGCTCTCTCCGCTTATCACGATGGACTGATTCACTGACAATCCACAGTGCATGTTGGCCAGAGCCTCCTCGGCAATACTGAACAAGTGAGGTGGAAGTGACTCCCTACACTCCTGTGATAGGATGCAGCCAGAAACACACGTACACATACACACACTGATGCACATGATGATTCAACAGTGACCGAATTCAGGATCTATGACTGATGGAAAGTGTATCTAAGGGCCGGGTTCCACTGCAACTCCGCGGCACTTGGCTGCATGCAGCGGAGCAGCGCAGTTCCACTGGCACTCGCCATTCGCGGTACCGCGGTCGTGCTCCATGTTTTTGATGACGTTTTACCTGCCTGCGCGCGAAATTGAAAAAAATGCTCATGTTCTGGCCTGCGCAACGAATAAGAATTTCAATTTTAAAAATTCTCGCGTACAAAACAATGCAAAGTACGGGAAACAGGTCGAGCCGTGACCGCGGCTCGCAGTTTTTGATCAAGAATCGTAGCGAAAGCTCGCGGTGAGCTGCGGCCTCGCTGCTCCAGCTCGAGCCGCGGTCACTATGGTAATGATGACGTTTCAAGCCGCGGATGACGAGCAGCGGAGCCGCAGTGGAACCCGGCCCTAAGTGGTGGGTCTGATAGTTGAACCACTAGCACTGTAAAGATGGTCAGTGTACTTAGCAGTGCATACAAACATAAGCATTCCAAACGATGATCTCTGCAATTACTTGACAATGTAGCAATGTGACACTCCTATAGCTGGTCCATATTGGAACATTTCCCTATAGCTGGTCCACACTTAGCTTTACCCTATAGCTGGTCCATACGTGAACTTTACCTTATAGCTGGTCCATACCTGGGCATAATCCTATAGCTGGTCCACACATAAACATTACCCTATAGCTGGTCCATACTTAAGCTTTACCCCATAGTTGGTCCATACTTGGAGCATTACCCTACAGCTGATCCGAGCATCACAATCATTACAGGCGGTGCATACTTGAGCATTACGCCACTACAATGACATGCCCAGGAAGATGTACAACGTACCTTGCCAAAGCCCCGGTATGCTTCCATGCCCTCCGTGCTGTACAGACTCTTGATTTGCTGGAACGGATTGATGGCCACCAAAGCAACACCTAGATTGACACAGGTAGCAAACATACATATCATGGGAGAATGGTAACTTAGAAATTGAGAATTGAGAATCTGGCTGGAAGACAGATTTAAACTTCATCGAACACATCAGATCTAGCGTACCCAGTAAAGACCCAGTAAAGGCAAGAACAGAGGAAGTCAAGCGGGTCGCGACTCACAAGTATACAGGATATCCAGGTCCACACGTTGAGAACTGATAGTCCATACATGTATATGAATACGGAATGAAAGGGGATGGCAAATACAGCGTAGCCTAGCCCCAATACGGAGAAACCGAGTACATGAGGTAGTACATTAATGACCTCTGAAGTCAACAGAACAGCCTTTATGCATGTTTACGGCTTGCATGAAACTCGGTCAGACTGAGTTTTCCGCATTCACAGGAATGCAACCACCCTCGGTATCAAGGTGCAGATGCAGCTCCAAAAGCGGCGAGAGGTGAGTAGATCAGACCTACCACCAAGTGGTCAAGACCGAAAATCCCATTCGCTGCATCCATGTTACCCTCGTGCCAGTGCATGCAAAAATGGCCTTTACAAGTACTCTGCAGAAAGGTGTTTGACCTGTGGAGACAGACCTATCGAAATGTTGATAATTGTGAATTGCGATAAAGTAGCAGTTAGGCGAGAGGAAATTGTTGAGTTATACCTGCAAACGTGTAGTAGCAGCCTGCAGCGTAGCGGCCTTCCAGCGTCTGCAGCATGCTGTCAGGTGAGAGAGGAACCAGCCATGTCAAGTCCCACTTGGCAATCACCGGGTCGGGCAGCGACTGGGTGCGAGTGCTGCGCCGACGGGAGCGCCGGCTGCGTGACTTCTCCACAGTGGGCGTAGTCGGTGATGACACCGATCGCTGCACGCGAGCAATTCAGGGGGAAACGGAACACAGGTACATGTAGCATGCATAGGAAAGAGGAGTGCGGGTATACTTTTGTGTTTCCAACGTGACATCAATCACAAATACTTGTGGCCAAAGAAATCCAGACCGGCTTGATAGGTCAGTGCTGCAACCCAAATCATTCGTGTCCGGGTTTCGTGCAAGAGGTGTGTGGCCCAACGCACTCCGTCACCAGCACAGTACTAATTTCTTTGGAGACAACAGCTACAGCAGCACGGCAAAGTAACCAAGACCATCTGGTGTGTACTATGATGAGAAATCGAATGAGTACATTCCAGTTGAAACACGTGATGACAAGTGTACTTTATAGTGTACTGCAGTGGATAGGGTGGATGCGGTCCCTCTTCCCATTGAAGCAGTCCTATAAATATCTGCCAGTTCCACACGTGATGAAAATCATTAATTGTACTTTATAGTTTACGGTGGATATGGTGGGTGCGGTCCCTCTTTCCATTTTGCAGCAGTCATACCTTGATGAACACATCATCGAATTGCCGGCTGCCATTGCCATTGCCACTGGGTGTTACTTTCACGTTGGGAAGTTCACCGAGTGGTCGTCTTGACTGGGCAGATCCTTTCAGGATGGGTGTGAACGCCTTCTGGAAGCAAACAAAAAAATTAAACAGGGAAGAGGGAGCAGGAGGAGGAGGAGGAGGAGGAAGAGAAGGAGGAGGAGGAGGAGAAGGAGGAGGAGGAGAAGGAGGAGGAGGAGGAGGAGGAGGAGATAGGGAGAGAGAGAGAGAGAGAGAGAGAGAGAGAGAGAGAGAGAGAGAGAGAGAGAGAGAGAGAGAGAGAGAGAGAGAGAGAGAGAGAGAGAGAGAGAGAGAGAGAGAGAGAGAGAGAGAGAGAGAGAGAGAGAGAGAGAGAGAGAGAGAGAGAGAGAGAGAGAGAGAGAGAGAGAGAGAGAGAGAGAGAGAGAGAGATGAGAAGCAAGTGGTTCAGAGCAGTACGTACAGTCATGTAGTCTAAAGAAGCACATATTATAACTATATCCAGGAGCAGCTACACATTAGCAACAAGCAACATGTCCGTGGTTCCCTGTGAGAGAAGGTACGGTAGTAGTAGTAGTAATAACTAGAATGCTTCAGTTTAACTACATTGATTACGATGTGCACCTTTCCTTTGCTCCCATTGGCCCACATTACATTGGCAGTGCGATATCGATACGATACAGTACTGTCGGGCACCGAAGAACGGACTGCCGAAGAACGGACTGCCGAAGAACGGACTGCCGAAGAACGGACTGCCGAAGAACGGACTGCCGAAGAACGGACTGCCGAAGAACGGACTGCCGAAGAACGGACTGCCGAAGAACGGACTGCCGAAGAACGGTCAGGCTAGAATTTCACCAATTTTTAAGACCGGTGTAGGCTGGATTTTTGCAGATAAGAACGGAAGCCGTAATATACGCCATAATGTACACTCAGACGTACCGGTATAACTCTGCATAAATGTACATGTAAGACTGCACCATCGAATAAGAACGAAACTGCTGTGTTGCCTAAAAATAAGAACGGGCTAGGCTAGAACCATGACCCCCCCCCCCCCCCCCCCCCGTTCTTCGGCGCCCAACAGTACTGTAATGCAGACAAATGCCTTTGCGGCTGACCACTGTCCATCATTTCCAAACATGAAACACAATCTTGATTTGAGCAGTCACAGCCGTAGCACCCAATTCTTGGATTAATATTGTCGTGTTATGTTCGATCGCATGGGGATAAACATGTAGGGTTCAGCATAAGAAAGTTGAGTTTGGAGGCTTCAGGGGGTATCGGCCGATGGGCAATAGCCAATTGAGTCATCTTTCCAAGATACCCTGTGAATCTCTCTCTCTCTCTCTCTCTCTCTCTCTCTCTCTCTCTCTCTCTCTCTCTCTCTCTCTCTCTCTCTCTCTCTCTCTCTCTCTCTCTCTCTCTCTCTCTCTCTCTCTCTCACCTCTTCCTGGAAGACCCACATAACCTGTCACCAGTTTCTGGCAGTGAGCAAGTGTGTGTGTGTGTGTGTGTGTGTGTGTGTGTGTGTGTGTGTGTGTGTGTGTGTGTGTGCGTGTGTGTGTATGTGTGTGCGTGTGTGCGTGTGGTGTGTGTGTGTGTGTGTGTGCGTGTGTGCGTGCGTGTGCGGGGGTACGGGTATGTGAATGTACGTCATAGCTAATATCGAAGAGTACTCAGTACACCCAGCGTGGAGATTCCTAGCATAACTTTCGTAGGCTCACCTGACGTTCAGAGCAACCGAAATCCATATCCACTGAGGGTCTAATTCTACTACGATTTCCTACGTGTCAGACCTACGAGTTACTCACTGCCATTGAATATTGGTGGACGTTTACAAAAAGACAAATCAGTTCAAAGTAATGTCAGTTATCATCTCTAAAAGGATGAGAATGAGACTGTTTTTACTTTTTAGTTAGTTTGTTGGCAGTGGTCTCATCAACACTTCAACAGACTGCATAACATGCAGTACAGAATGTCAGAAAGAACCAGTCGAGACCCGGGCCAGGCAGTCCGTCTACGTGCAGACGCGTCTGATTTCAAAAAGCCCGCAAGTAGGGTATCTCCATGGTTTCGAAAGAATGACGTAAGTGTCTTACTCATGTTTTGGTTTTGAAGTCTGGTCTTTCAAGTTTTTGATTTTACGTTGTTCGCTTGTACTTGTGTTCTTATCTGATCTGGTGCGTATATCACAGGACTATGTTTCATCAATCAGGATTTTGATGTGGAGGTTTGTGGCTGTACTTTGTCTCAACATTCAAAACGAGAATACCAATAGTCCTCTGCCTCTTCCTGGTCGATGCTGGTGGTGATCGGGGTACTGCTTCCACTGCTGTAACAAGCTGTACCAGGGGGCTGACACTGTATTTCTACATCATCGTGTCTGTGTTCAAGTGTGTTGTGAGCATGCTATGAGTGGAAAATGACTTGAGCTGTGACTGGGAGATGCAGCGACCGTTTGAAGGTAAGAAAACACTAGTGTAGTTTGCATTAGATGCAATAGAGAGAGAAGGGTATGTCTGCTGTAGCTCTTGCCTTCATAAGGTTATACTGTGTGACGATGAGACACAAACAAAACTAAAATAATTGGATTGTACTACTCCCTCAAATTATATGATGAATATTGTATTCTTTAACTCGGATACTGAGCCAGTAATACATGTAAAAAAAGAGAAGAAACACATGAGAACGAGTTATGCAGCAATTATCCACAACTGTAGCATCCTACGTAACCATGAACCTTCCAAGTTGGAAGGCTATTGGTTTGCGCACTGGAGATGTGTTAGAGCTAGGTCCCAGCTTGCCTGTCAGTGTCGCATTCCTGTGCTCAGTGACCGGACCCAGGAATCACTACGAGCGGCGACTGAATAGACGTGTGGCCTCACAACAAGCCCAACACAACCCAGGCGCCAACCAGTATAGTTGGCTTGGTCCAAGTTCAACCCCACACGATCAACAGACAAGGATTGTTAGCTTCACGTTGTGAGTAGTATTCAAATCCGAGCTCAAAGTGAAACCAAGACTAAGAGCTGAGACCCGAGTCTCGACTCGACTGAACTGAAGTAAAAGAGAGAATGAGAGCTTCTTTTATAGGCCAATTTAGAGATAAGGCGTGATCATTGCTTAGAATGGTACGAGGTAATTCCAGGAAATAGTAGAACAAGTAAAACCGGAATATGAGCAGCCAGTCAGCAGAAAAGCAGAATGCACGTACGGTAATTATTCGAGAAGAAAGAGAAAGAAAGACATGGAGAGAAGAAAGACCAAATTAGGACGTAGGGAGCCCGCTCACCCACGTCAGAGTACAATGTGCGTATATATGAGGGTCACGTTGGGGAGTCCGCTCACCCAACGTGCCATTGCTCAGCGGCTTCTTATGGGTAAGTTCTGCTGCATTCTTGATCTTGCTTGCGTGATACTCTGACCTCTTGCGCGGTGACGGTTTTGGTTCTTGTACACATCTCCTCTCTTGCACTTAGCTCTTGTTATACAATGTCCTGTTAGTCTTGGCTCTTTGCACAAAGCACCGAGCCATCGTGGAAACCTGTAGAACGTCATAGTGACGTGGTTTTGCACAAAGCCTGGAGTCACATTTCCAGGAAGTGAAACACTTCCAGGAAACGTACAACGCGAGAACATACCTGACCAGGTTCCGGCGTTGGGTTACATGATGTGCCATCCCAAGAAGGCATGTCACCTACGGGGGAAAGCGCGTGTCGCTCAACCTTCATGCTAAGCACGTTGGACAAGACACTGGCCAAACCACGTTGTATCAAAAGGGTGTGACAGCTCAGCACAGAGCTGCCCACTACGTAGACCCTGCTGTCACAGGACTATCAGTTCTGTGCCCTATTATCGCACGTTCTGACTCTTTATCATCTTGTTACAGTCGTGCAAAGTTGCTGCATAACTCGTTCTCATGTGGTTTCTTCTCTATTTTTTACATTGTACTCTTTGCGAGAAATAAAAAAAGAAATTGTGTTTTATTTCTCGAAAAGAACACAATATTCATTACATTACAGTCGATACCAGGAATCCGACAAATTACTGAGTTTGGCTGTCCAGGGCAGGTGGCCCAGCGCTCTTTTTGACTGCACTTCACTTTCCATCGTTATTCATACCGGTATATATTAAAGGAAAGGAAACAGGTCCTACCATGCGCGTGTGTGTGTGTGTTTCATAGTAGCTTCATGATCATCCATACCCATAGCCCGTTGAAGAAGCTATCCGCATACTGAATGTACTGTATGCGTGTGTACGTATGTGTGTGTGTGTACATGTGTGTGTGTGTGTGTGTGTGTGTGTGTGTGTGTGTGTGTGTGTGTGTGTGTTCCCGTGTGTGCCCGTGTGTGTACCGGTATGTGTATGGTGTGTGTTTGTTCGTATACGTGTGTGCGTGTTGTGTGTATTGGCTTGTAGACTTACGGCGCGATGTGCGGCAGGTCGAGAATGAAATTGATGTTAAGCTTGTGTCTCTGAGCAAGCTAGGGACAAGCATTCAGAATGCCGGCGCCTGGAGCAATGGGTATGCTGTTCCTTGCCTCTGCCTTCTTTTGCGTGTGTTCTGTCTCTGTTGTGTTTCTATTGTGTCCACATGGAGTCACCTATTTTACTCATGATTCAGATTGCAGGACTATGCCTTTTTGAACATTCCCCGGTTTCTTACCTCTTCTTTGGTATGTCTTGCTCACCCCCTCCTCCTCTCTCTCTATCTTTCTCTCTATCTCTCTTTCTGCCTCTCTCTCTCTTTCTCTCCCTCTCTCTCTTTATCCAGTTACTGAGATTCTGATTTGCATCTGTGTTTTGTTTTTTTTCATGCTGAAGTGATCCGCTTTCCAGTCACTCGAGCAGTACAACATGTGAGGCTATGGCACTTGAGATTGAGCAGCTCATCAATAAAGTGAGGACTAGTCTCATGGTCTAACCTGTTCAGAAATTCTTTCTTGTCTTATATACGGTCAAACTTGCAAATAATGACCCTCGATCGTGCATGAGAAAATGCCGTTATTGGTGAGGTTGAAAGAATGCAGTCAAATGGTCACTACGGCTGAAGATTGTGTCGTTATTCGCGCGTTGTTGTTATTCATGAGGTTGACCGTATTGGTAATCAACCTTGCTGGTGAAATTCATTGCCAATGGGGATTATGAATGGTAGGGACCTAACAATTTAGTACATGTACCTCGGTGATGTTCCAACTAAAGAATGCCATGCAGACGTATGGATGTGTATTTGGGTGCCGGGCGTACACAAGTGTGCATACTGGTGTGTGCGCACTACATCATGACGTACGTGATAGTATTCAGTACTATTCACTGCAGCAACTGCTTCTGCAGTCAAGCCTCTCTACGCTGCATGGTATGTGCTACTGTCAATTACATCCAGAATACGTAGACCAGAGTGTGCAGCTCAGCATGAGTTTTGGGAGAGTGGAATGCCGTCGTTAGCGGCATTCTCAGCGAGTCGTAGAACGGTAGTGTTGCGCTGCATGAGCACAATGACGACGACAATGATGTGAACAGTGAATTGCGCTGTCCAGATCTCGTATGCAGAGTCGCATACTCTGGCGTAGGTTCTTTTGATTGTATGATGCGCAAGTAGTAGTACACATTGCAAGTAGTAGTACACATTTGCTGCTACGTGTACTAATCAAAGTAGTAATATTGTCGCTCCTGCTGTCTGTGCTCAGTTGACATCGCTGAACGATCAGCTGGCTGAGTCGGCGGGAAACGTCAGTCAAGTCTCGTCCAACAGCGCGGCAGTAGAGCGTGCCGTGGCTCGGCACACTGGCATTCTGCAGGGCTACACGCTGGAATTCGACAAGATCAAGGTAGCCGTCGTTGCCTTGTGCAGTGCTGCTCAATGAAATCCAGTCGCGTCACTTAAGTACGCGCCGGGCGTTGCATAGCAGTAGAGTAGACCTGCGAACGCTGAGCTGCGAAACGGTACAAGGTGCAAACGTGACTCACGGATTTCATTTAGCAGCACTGTATTTTGTAGCATCCACTTTGTCCTGCCATCACCGGTTTTGTACGGTGGTGATTTGCTAAGAGCATACGGCAATACATATGCAGCGCTTTGCCGTTGAATTCACGCCCACACTGTGTTGGGAATGCACTGCTATAAGCTCAGGGAGTTCAGTACCAGTGCAGCACGAAGGATCAAACTGATGAAGTGTCAGAACAGGGAACAATACTTTGTAGCCCCGAAAAGGACCACATTCTGTTGGCAACTTGCTGTTCACGAAAGGGAAATTCATACCCACACTTGTCAGACATGATCCTTCACCTGCTTGTGAGGTGATCACCGTGTAGCACATTTGGACATCCTGAAATATCCTGAAAAATTCCCTACAAAATATTGATTTTTGCTGGAAATCCAAATTTGGCCTATATTAAAACCCTTGATCATCATGTGTGTGTGTGTGTGTTTTTGGTTTCTTTTGTTTTACTGTTGCGCTTGTCCCCATGCATGCCATGCTTTGGAGTTTGGTTGCATGTCTGGTTGTACTGATCATGTACAACAGAGTGGACATGTAAACACAGAGATGTACACGACGCGGCACAGCAGTACCAGTGCTGTAGGTGCCCTAATGTCATGCATTACTAACGTGGCAACACAATCATGCATCGTGTTGCGGTATCGAATGCCCTATGTGCACCCCCTGAACAATTTAGAACTGACTGCATGGATAATAAAAATTTAATGTTATCGATGTTCAACTGTCTGTTTGCTCTACATGCAGTCGAGGATTCATATCGAGCAGGAGAGGGCCGACTTGCTGGGGTCGGTTCGCCGAGACATAGCGTGAGTTTCTGCTTGTCCTAGAAGAAAGATAGACGGACTTCAGTTTTCTCGTGAACTGCTGTGTGTGTGCGTGCATGTGTGCGCGCGTGCGTTTGTGTGTGTGTTGTGTGTCTGCGTGTGTGTGTGTTGTGTGTGTGTTGTGTGTCTGCGTGTGTGTGTTGTGTGTGTGTAGCCTAGCTCATCATTGTACAACTGAAGCACACGTAATTACAGTGAAAATTCAGTGCAATGTACCTGCAAGGGCCGGAAACATCTAGTGCTGTCACTCTGTAAATGGGCTGCTACCATTTTGTGTTTCTGACCTGCGTGTTCCAATAGAGCGCACAAGTCGTCCGGAGTTGATCGCCAGACGGCGCTCTATATGGGAGAGCACGAACGTCTTCTTTCGTAAGTCCTTCCTTCTCACATTGTCTGCGCTACGTGTACCTTTGTACACCGAGCCATGCTGTTAGTGTTTTCATTCCATTTCTGCAGGAATGTCGCTGTGTTGAGTTGTAGGTAGGACATCTACAGTGTAGCCTGCTTCGAACTGTCTTCCTATTCTTGTGCAGAAGCAGTTTAGACTTGGCCCAAGGAAGAAGGGGGGGGGGGGGTATAAGAGGCGTGCATTTTTGCCATTTCGCAAATTCTTGAGATTTTTAGGTCTTACCTCTTTTGTGGGTGCAGTTCTCAATCCTCGTACTGTAAAAGCAGAAATTTGCGGTGGTGTAATATTTTCCGTATTCTCCGAAATCGGCGGTTCGGTAGAGGGAAATTTTCGGTAAAACCCGTTTTCCAGGTAAGTGTACTAGTACTACATGTCTACAGTACTGGTTGTAGCGAAATTTTCGGTGCGTTTTCTTTTCGGTAAAAATTGTCGGCACCGAAATTACCGAAAACTTCTGCTTTTACAGTATTCTGACTGAAACTTTATAAGATCCTTCAGGTTTGCTAGTGTTGTGCTGTTGGTTCGGGTACATGTACTATGATGCATTTTAGTCATGTTTACACCTGTATTGATCTTGACTTCCACTCCAGATCTGATCGAGTAGCAGATGAAGCATTGGGGTAAGCTTTTGTCGAGCTTTTATTTTGTTGGCTCGTTCTCGTTGCTTTCCTGTCTTCTTTGCTTGCTTTGACTAAAGCCATAATTTGGTTCTGTGTGAGGTGGTGAATGTTGTCGACTGGTCACTGGGGCTGACGGATAGACAGTGGCCTTCGTGCACGGGGAATCTGTAACTGGCCTTCTCCACCCCATCGGCAGTGTTATCCTGTACTGCTGTAAGGACTGTTTCAGCTGCATCATGGGTCTTGCCATGTCCTAATGTGGCCCAGTGTCGTATGCATGTCCCATCTGGCTGCATACTGTTCTGCTAATTTTGGAGTGTGCTGTGCCAGTACATTCGATATGCTGGCCCTGTATACCGTATATTCGTCTGTGGGGAATGCCCTATTAAAATATGAATAAATAATAATACGAAGTAGTGGTTGCGACTTCGGCGATGACTTGTAAGAAAGGGTTTGCTCCCCACACCGAGCTCCGGTGTGGGGAGCAAACCCTTTCTTACAAATAAATAATAATAATAATAATAGTTTCCTCTGAGACAAAAATGCGATAATACTCATAAAAAGGACACACTTCAGGCTCATTACAAACATCTTGAAAGTTTTTGTCTTCACAAGTATACTTTGCTGTTTTACCACCTTCTTACTGTATTTAATCCACTGTTCCTGTTCCTTTTCCCTTGCCTGTATTTCACCTGATGAGAAGGCTTGAAAGTATACTTGTGAAGACAAAAACTTTCAAGATGTTTGTAATGAGCCTGAAGTGTGTCCTTTTTATGAGTAATAATAATAATCTTAATAATGCAATGAATATAACTAAATGCGCACTCATATCACAACCATGGGGACGAATCATGTATTCCAGAACGTTTTCTTGTCACAATTATCAATGGAATTCGTGACTAAAGAGAATGATGAAACTACAATAGGATTTATACACTTGCAGTGGAACAGCGAGGATACAAGCATAGTAAGAAAAATAGCACAAACCTAGGAACAATTTGCACAGGTAATAAACTATAGGTGAGGTGAGAAATGATAGGAAATTCAGCAAGTGCAGTGTGACAATGGACATGCATGTGTAAGTGTGTGTGAGTGCAAATTTACTGGAATAGCGTAAGTGCGGTGACATTTTCTTTTTGTTTACAAAGATTTGGATCACGAATGCGAATGTAGACTGCTTCTAGAACTTTTAACTGCTTGAAACTACTTGCAGAACGAACAACACTGAACCAAGAATCATCATAACTTTCACGACACACGGGGTTAGACAACAAATGCAATTTAATTGCCGATGTATTCTTCTTCTTCTCACCGCCTCCGCCTTCACTTGGTTTCTGACCGCCACCGTCCTTCACACCATCTGCACCATCATCGTCATCATCGTCACCGTCCTCTTCATCATCGCTGCCACCTTCACCTGTCGTCGGCTCTCCCAGCAACTGACCACCGGGTTCATCATCGTCACTGCACACGTCGCTTCCACACTCCTCCTCCAGCTGCCGTCGCGTTCTCTTCCTGACCGGTCTTCCCTTGCCATTGCCAAACGCCTGACAGTCGTCAACTCTTCCGCTGGCATCATCCATATCCGGAGAGTTTCGATGCATCTTTCCAGTCACCTCTGCAAACCGAGCTGCCGCCAGCCGTTTGCTCCTTCTCAGCTTTGGTGAGTTGCGGTTGTCTGCGTCCGGCGTTCCGGTACTCGCTGATAATGAAGATAAGACACAGTGTTCGTCTTTGTTTACATTAATGTTTGTTCCCAATTTCTGCGTGCTGTGTTGGTTTTTCCGAGACACCGTTTGTGGAGCAGAAGCCTCTGCCGGAACGGACAGTGGAGTTGGGTGCTTACGTGGTCGGCCACGCTTTGGTCGGGAGGACCTAGCCGCCTGTGACAATATTGAGAGCGGCACGTGTTGTTTGATACGTTCGGACAGATGTTGAAGGGTCCTACCAACATACCGACTACCACATTGTCGGCATTCAAAGTAGTAAATGAGGTGACTCAATTACGTTCTGGAATACATGATTCGTCCCCATGGTTGTGATATGAGTGCGCATTTAGTTATATTCATTGCATTATTAAGATTATTGTCTCCACGTCGCCTTTTTAAATAATAATAATAATAATATTTGAATTGTTTGCAGGCAACCTGCCTACACTCAAGAGAGCACTGCATTTCACACAAATCCATTGGTATCGTTACAACGTTTCGGTCTTTATGACCATCATCAGGAATGAAGTGGACATGGAAAGAACAGCAGTATAAAAGAAGGAGGCAAGCAAGCAAAGCGCGGTACATAGTGACAGCGCGCGTAGAGAAGTGCAAAGCGCGTCATGGCGGGTGTGCATTACTACATATACATGACAACACAAGCACAAACGGTGAGGAAAGTAGATACTGCGCTACAGCAGTGATAACAGCCCAGTTCCAGTCTCACACCACCAGTGAGGTGTCTAGAGCCCCGCGCCACTCGCAGTAAGGTGGTGTTATAGCAGATCCCAGCCACTGTTATTGTTAATTTCCGGGGATCGCTCCCTGATATTGATGGCCTCCCGGATCCTCCTCCTGGGGCGGTCACGCTCAGAACCGAGAACCCGGATACCTGAGAAAGCCGTTGCTCCCAATGGCAATGGGTCAGATGCATGCTTGGCCGCGAAATGCTCACCCAGCGCGGTGCCGCTCACTGTGTTGCGTGCGTCGTCGTTGTGTTCTTTTGTCCTGGTAGCGAGGCTGCGGTACGTCTCTCCGACATATTTATCACCACACCTGCACTCGAGGTGGTATACAACATTTCGCTCCGTGCATGCCCCTGAACCGGACATGCAGGCGACACAAGCAGCTTTGGGCCGCCCCCGTTTACGGGGCCTGGACGGGTCTACATACCTGCGGCATGGTGGTTTGCGGAGGGCAGACGTGCAAATCATAGAACTTAGTCGGCGGTTCCTGTAAATCAGCTGGGCATTTATCTTGTACTTCCGGAGTAATTTATGAATTTTGTTGTGGATATACTCGGTGTGAAACGGTAGGTTGAGGGTGACACGGTATTCATTCTGCACTCTGACACGTCGGGGGCGCATAGCTCGTTCACGTGCCGAAACTATAACTGACTCTGGGAAGTTGTTGAATTTTAGGATGTTGGTTACTTTTTCTTCACTTCTTTTTAGGGTGTCGGCATCGGAGGATAGGCGGACGGCACGCAGGAACTCAGAGGAAGCAATTGCTTTCTTTTGCTGGTTGGGAACTGACGAGTTGTAGTCTGATACCAGTCCGCTGTGACATGGCTTGCGGTATAGTTCATAGGATATAGATCCATCTGGTGAGACATGGACGGTCGTGTCCATGAAATTGATTGAGCCAGTCAACTCCGTGGATTGGTGAGTGAATTTAATATTAGGATCGGCATTATTGAAGTGATCTAGGAAACTCTGCAGAAGTTCCGGACCGAGGTTCCACACAATGAAAACATCATCGATGTAGCGCTTGTACAGAACTGGGCTGGCAGGTGCACTACGCAAGAGCGAACTCTCTAGGTCATGCATGTACAGGATGGCAAAGGGGGGCGCTAGGTTATTGCCCATAGCCACACCATCCTTCTGGTGGTACACCTGCGCTCCAAACCGGAAGTAGTTGGAGCTCAGCACATGTGCGAGGAGCTCCTTGACCTGCCCAATTCGGAAACCGAACAGATCGATGCTGCCCTCGTGTTGTCGGAGGACTCTCATGACTGCTGCAATGCCATCGTTAATCGGGATGCTAGGGTAAAGGGCCACCACATCCATAGTCACAATGATGGTGCCGGGCGGGGCCTTGAGGTTGGGAAACGCGCTCCTCATACACTGGAGTGCTTCAACAGTGTTCTCCAGGTGTGCTGGCACGAACTGGAGACATTGATTGAGGATGCGTTCGAGGACTATGGAGATGTTTGTAACTGGGCTGCCGCAGGCCGCAACGACTGGTCTGAGAGGAATATTGGACTTGTGGTCTTTTGGAAGACCGTACATTTCAGGGAAGCTGTTGTCACCCGGCATCACGGCTGTGTATAAATCCTTTTCCAAGGATCCCTCGCAAACTCGGCGGAGTATCTTTCGGGTCTCCTCCTCCCACTGGTCGATAGTAAGCTCAACTTTCTCAAACCGGGACTCGTCCGACAACAGGGATTCTGCCTTCTCCAGCTAAGTGGTCATTTTCATTGCTACAAATTTGTTGCTTTTATCAGATTTTTTTATGATGACCGACTCGTCCTTGCCGACCTTCATGAGCTGCTCACGATCAGAGTGAGACAGGTTCGGCTGCGGCACTCGCGAGTTTTTGTACAGGGCCATTGCTTCGCGCTTGAAGCTCGCCAGGCTGTACTCTTCGTCCTTGGACAGTTTAGGGCCCTGCTGGAAACCATGTGCCTTCAGGTGCCAGATCTTGGGTTCAAATTTGGCGGGACCTCCGTCAGCCATAGATGGCTGCTGTTCCGAGGACTGCCTCCACCAGCGAAGAGAGTACGCCATTCTTTCGACGCCCACCTCGACGTCTTGCATAACTCTCTGGTTGGCTTTGCCAGCCGACGGAACAAAGCCCGGCCCGAGTCTAAGGAGGTCCAGCGCCTCACTCGACACACAGTTGTCTAAGTCAAGAGCACATCCAGAGCGGTCTTGCGTCGTGACATTGTTGCGGTGACCACCTGCAGGCAGCTGGCAATGGGGGAAGCCCACGAACGACTGCTGCTGGCATAGACGCTCTAGCTTAAGGGTGAGCCGTCGTCGGGAGGCAAGTCGTTCCGCATGACACACAGCATTGCACAAGGCACGTAGCCAAATATAGTCTTGCTTGGAGTACGAGCGCAGGTCGGCCCTCCGCGCCGTGAATAGTCCATAGCAGTGGGACTTCCACCGAAATTTGTCCTCGATGGCATCCCTCAGAAGGTTGCGAACATAGGCATCGCGACGGGTAGCTCTGGAAGGACGGGAACCTATAGGCTGGGGCACGCTGCGCTGAATAAAATATGGGACTAAATGTTTCCGCCGACATTGAAGCAGAAAATGCACCTGACAAAGACTCCGCTCTAGTTTCCATGCCCACTTCACGAACAACCAGGGCGTCTGAGTCCTTGAGGGGGAGAACCGTTTCAAAATTTTGAAGGACGCTTCACGCAGCTTCATTATACTTGAATTGTTTGCAGGCAACCTGCCTACACTCAAGAGAGCACTGCATTTCACACAAATCCATTGGTATCGTTACAACGTTTCGGTCTTTATGACCATCATCAGGAATGAAGTGGACATGGAAAGAACAGCAGTATAAAAGAAGGAGGCAAGCAAGCAAAGCGCGGTACATAGTGACAGCGCGCGTAGAGAAGTGCAAAGCGCGTCATGGCGGGTGTGCATTACTACATATACATGACAACACAAGCACAAACGGTGAGGAAAGTAGATACTGCGCTACAGCAGTGATAACAGCCCAGTTCCAGTCTCACACCACCAGTGAGGTGTCTAGAGCCCCGCGCCACTCGCAAAATTTTGAAATAATAATATTAGAAAGGAAAAGGACATATGGAAACGAGTTAAGAGTAACTCTCCACCACTGTAACTAGATACTATACTATACCCGAGTTTCAAATAATAATATTCTCTATTATAAGCACAGGTCTCCATTACTAGCACAGTCTCTAATACTAGCACACTGTGAGCACCTTTCGAAACATAAGCACAGTCTCTATTATTAGCACGGTCTTGGTGGAAATCAATGCTGCATGCATGATATCTAGCATGTATTTCTTCTTGCTTTGTATGGATGTATTGGTTGAAAAAATATAAGCACGGTCTCCAATATAAGCGCGGTCTCCAATATAAGCACGGGGTAGAGGGGTGTTGAAAAAATATAAGCACGGGGTAGAGGGATGTTGAAAAAATATAAGCATGGGGTAGAGGGGTGTTGAAAAAATATAAGCACGGGGTAGAGGGGTGTTGAAAAAATATAAGCACGGGGTAGAGGGGTGTTGAAAAAATATAAGCACGGGGTAGAGGGGTGTTGAAAAAATATAAGCACGGCGCTTATAATAGAGAATGTATATGGTATCTACAGTTGTGCTCGCTGAAATCCGGCCCTCAGCTTGCACGGCCCTTGTCGCCCTGGCAGTGGCACGAATGCGGCTGGACGTACACATGTACAATTACAGTGATGTAATCGGAACTGGTCCAGGGCACCAGGTTTGCACTTTGGGTCGGATTTCAGTGAGCGCAACTGTAGTATCATCTGCACTTGCACAAGTGTGATGGTCCTCTGTTTTAATAAGGCAATGAATAAAACTATGTTGCCGCTCATATCACAATCGTAGCAACAATTGAAAGGGTTCCAGAGCGTTTTATTCGTTGCTTTTAAGATTATTACATGAAAACCCCTCCACACATCATCCTCAATTCAAGTGGGTTTTTTCTAGGGGTGAAAGGGGTGATCCGGGTAACCCGGGTACCCGTCTGTTTAGCTGCTGATCCGTTAGCAAACGAGTACCCGATAGTCTTGTAGGATTGTAGGGTACAGTATTAGAAGCTTGCTTGTACAGTTGTACAGTTGTACAGTTCAGTGCACAGTTTTGAGTGTGTTTTTCCTCGTTCAATCCTGCTACATATCACGGTATCCATTGTAGCTACGACAATTTCGACTGTTAGCATGTAGCGCAGTGATTGTGCACACTGTGCTTGTCGTGGTGTAGTGTACTTGTATGACTTCGCATATCCTCCCGGCGTGAAATCCGGAAGGCTACTGTAGCAATTGTTGCCCGAAAATCGCTCTCCTATCAGAATGCCTGTAAAAGACATGTTGCGCTTACGATCCCAAGCAAATGCAACGTTTTTGGAAAAAGTATGGCGGATAAAGGGTACCCGATAACCCGCCCGTTAAGCCAGATACCCGTTTTTTACCTTTTAAAAGGGTAACCGTTTCACCCCTAGTTTTTTCATTGTATATTGTTTTCCCTATTAATTAAACAATACCATTGTTGCATTCAGGGTGGCTGTTCGAGCGCGTCAGAGTTTGGAAGCACAGCGACGGCGACTGCTGAACATCACTGGAAGTGTCAGAAACTTGCTGAGTATCCTTTCCAGTGCTATTGTCGTTCTCTGCTATCAGTGCAGACCTCCGTGTCTTGCCCCAATTCCTGTTGTGTCTGTTGTAAGTGCAGGTCTCCATTACTAGTGTAGTGTCTGTTATGAACGCGGCGGGTCCAGGGCTTTTTGAAAAAGATGTGTGTGTGCGTGTGTGTGTGTGTGTGTGTGTGTGCGTGCTTGCGTGTGTGCACGCTAGTCAAGGCTTCCTGGCCTCTTTGTAGGTGTCTTCCTTGACCCGTGTACTTACCTAGATCGATTTCCTGCCATCAACAGCCTGGTGGGCCGCATCAATGTGCGCAAGCGTCGTGACAGCATCATCCTTGGCAGCGTGATAGCCGTGTGCATCATTGTCCTCTTCCTTTTCATGTAATACTATTTATTCCCGTAGCTATGCAGAAGACGTTACTTCAGTAACGTCTGGCGCTAGCCAGGGTCCACACAGCTTTAATTTGGTGTTTGTTTGTGTGTTTGTTTGTGTCACGCCTGGCGCTATCCGTATCTGACGGCAAAAAAGCATAGGATGTTATAAATTTTTCAATTCTCCTTTTTTTTCAGGCATATCCTGGGATTCGAACCCGCACTATCGCCCTACATGCATTCCCCCATACACTTCGCATTCATACCCATTCTTCCAAGTTGCGTTACGTTATTATCTTGCGTTTGAAAGCCCTATTTGAATATTGCGGGAAGCTGTATGTGGCCAGCTGTGTTTGATGGTACGGTACGGTACTGGAGACGGTGTCGTATTACCCTCGATCGTACCTGTCCCGTCCCTATCCCCTACCGTACCGTGCCATCAAAGACGGCTGGCCACAATGCATATAACTCAAATAGGGCTTTCAAATGCAAGATCACAATGTGAAACAACTTGGAAGAATTAGTATGTATGCGAAGTGCATCGGGGGATGAATGCAGGGCGCGCGATAGTGCGGGTTCGAATCCCAGGTTATGTCTAAAAAAAGGAATTTTTTAAAGAATTTATAACATCCCTATGCTTTTTTTTTGTCTAGGTCATCAAGGCAAAAAAGCATAGCGTAGGGCCCTGAGCTTCCAAGCTCTCTCGTTGGCGCATCCGCTGGCTGCGGTGCTTGCTGACCGGGTGACCGGTAGCCTTCAGTCCATCCTGCTGCTGCTGCTTATCGAGCACTAGCACAGGGACTGCCTGCCATTGAGCTTTTTAAAAGCTGTCCATGTACAAATTGTATTCACCCGTCCCACCATGCGATTCTATACTCTCTTTCTATTCTGCTCTTTCTGTTCATGATTGCATGAGCGACCATAGCCATGCGTCTTCTCCAGCCCTGCGAGTCATGTGCCCGACGAAAGTGCAACAGTGCTTGCTTGGTGCGCCTTTCGTTGAATTCTATCCCGTTTAACTTGACGAGGATAACTTTTACAAGTACACAAAGTGGCGGCAGAGTGCAGTGCACCTTGACTGACGAGCGGCTCCACGCTGTACACGTACATGTACATCAGGCGTATCAGTGAACATACTGTTGTTATTGCATATCTTATTCTTGTACAATAGTTGAATGCACGTTGTTGGCCCAATAGCTGGACATGACGTATCCGTATACTGACATATGTCTGTATTATATTCATTGTTTAAATTTGTTTTCATATTAATTTATCTGCCAATAGTTTGCACAGAAGGCTGAATATGCTCTTATGTTTTTTTTCTATAATCATTTAATGTGCTGAATCTCTCCAGGTCTCCTAGCTTATATTTTATAGACGTGCTCGCTCGCTTTACATGCTGCGTAGGAGGACTTGAGTATTGCTCCGATGGGAATCGGGGGGGGGAAAAAAAAAAGCGCCAATGTTGACTGGGGTTCTATTTCCAGGCTCCCCTGGAAATTGATTTCCCACGTGCTGCCTATGCATTGAAGGCTTTCATTTCTTGAGCTGTGCAATGTTTTTTTCTCCATGAAGTCTAAAGTTGAAGTTGCAATTTTGTGTGCAGTGTTCTGTATAATTAATTAATTATTCGCATGCTGTAGCCGAAAGATTGAACAGCAACAAGAATGTGCAAAGCGTAATACATGTATACCCACACATTATGCCTATGCTGTGTGCAATGAAGGAGAACATACATGTACATGGACTCGTAGTGCCTATGTGAATGGCCCGATAGCGGAATGGTAAATGATTGTATGCCCTGCCAGACATGCAGAGGCCAACTCTGCAAGAAATTCACCCGAGGCCGAGGGGTTCTGTATCATTGTGTATGCCGGTACACCAAGTGACTTGGCAAAGAGTCCTTGCCCCTTGGACTCTTTGTCTTTGAAGCCTGATTCGTCTTTTAAACATCAGGGCTGAGGTCAGGGAATGACTTTTATTATGTATAAGCTATAAGGGAGCAGTCGATGCGCCAGATTTGAAAAATCACGTCGGAACACAGAGTTCTATTTTTCAGATACACCCTTTTTGGGCACTTTTCTCAAGGCATTCTCAACATACGATCGTTTTCATGTATGTACGTGCTGGCCAGTCTCACGCTTTCTCGGAGTTATTCGTCACACTCGAGGATTCAGTAGTCGCCTTTCACCTTTTTCTGTTATGAGTTCTTCAAGAACGACGAAATTCTGTAGTTTGGTGTCGCTACACGTCGGTTTGTCTCTTTTCCTTTTTTCGTCGAAATTTCGTCGCCCGACCTATAATTTCGTGCCACCGAATTAACCAGGCATTTCGCTGCTTCTATGCTGGACGTATCGAAAGAGTAAGTCTTTGTGACATTGGAGCGGAAGTTATGTTCTGGCCGAAAAAAGGGCATGCCTCTGGTGACGTGATTTCTAACTAGTGTTTTTACGTATATTTTCCATGCATGTGTGCACAGATGTCAGCGGCAGGAAGACCCAGCAATGCCACAACTGGCACAAGCATACATACTTGACGACCATGTGGCCCAGAATGAAGCATTTGCTCCAAAGTGCCATCTGACAAGCGATTTACACATGACTCAATGCTGTCAGATTGGCAAAATTGGCAAAAGCTACACACATGCACATCCATCACGTCAGGCCAATGCATTTATTGCAAGTGCGTCAAAGCACTACGACGCCAAGTATGCACAGCAGGGAAAGAAAATAAGCCACCAGTCAGCCAAAGCACATGCAGTGTACATGATTGCAGCGGAGCGGCATCCGTACACTGTCCTGCAGACAAACTGCGCGTGCACAGTCTGAAAGAACAGTGCGAACCGCTTCTGTGCCCAACCCATTACCAGCAGTGTGTGGGCCATGCAACATGTGCTTGGTGTAAGTCGAGACTCACACCAGAACACAGGTGGAAGTCACCAAACTTTCAGCTTGCAGAGCATGTGTTGCGTAGCATGCACCATGTCAGGATTTCAGACGAGAGTCGATTTTGTAGACGCTGCTACCAAAAGCAAATTGACATGCTCCCTGCCGACAATGCACCAAGCACAGACCACCAATTGCGAAGCATCATCTCTCAGTACAGCACGGAAGGTGCCGAGAGTGATTTCCCCAATATTATAGTCATTGCCGCTACAGGACGGGAATTGCTGGACAAGGATGCCATATTGTTGACAACAGTGCACGATTTGTATACAGAGACTTTGCACCCAGCTGCTGACCCCAAGCCAGCGGCATACGTGCTCGGCAAATTGAAGTTGACCCTGGAGCACCACTTGCACGTCATTCCACCTAAGTCGCGGAAGGATGGCACATTGCTGCTACGCAATGGATGTAATGTAATGCTGAGAAGGCACTACATATGATCCTTTCTGCAGAGCGTAAACACAAGATAGAGCAAACACCAACAAAGCTGGAAGACCTCACTCTGCCATGCTCACAGCACAATTGATAGCCAGCAACCGAATAATACATGTACTTCACAAATATGGGAACCCATTTACACCAAGTGCTATTATCGGACAATGCCATTATGCTCCTAGCACGCAGTACAAGAAAATTATAGAGCTTCGCCAGCATTGCCTTGATTTTGTCGTAATGTGATGGTGTGTGCGTGTGTGTGTGTGTATGTGTGTGTGTTTGAACATGGGAACCCATTTACACCAAGTGCTATTATCGGGCAATGCCATTATGCTCCTAGCACGCGGCACAAGAAAATTATAGAGCTTCGCCGGCATTGCCTTGATTTTGTCGTAATGTGATGGTGTGTGCGTGTGGTGTGTGTGTCACTGTGTGTGTGGGTGGTGTGTGTATGTGTGTGTGTGTGTGTGTGTGTGTGTGTGTGTGTGTGTGTGTGTGTGTGTGTGTGTGTGTGTGTGTGTGTGTGTGTGTGTGTGTGTGTGTGTGTGTGTGTGTGTGTGTGTGTGTGTGTGTGTGTGTGTGTGTGTGTGTGTGTGTGTGTGTGTGTGTGTGTGTGTGTGTGTGTGTGTGTGTGTGTGTGTGTGTGTGTGTGTGTGTGTGTGTGTGTGTGTGTGTGTGTGTGTGTGTGTGTGTGTGTGTGTGTGTGTGTGTGTGTGTGTGTGTGTGTGTGTGTGTGTGTGTGTGTGTGTGTGTGTGTGTGTGTGTGTGTGTGTGTGTGTGTGTGTGTGTGTGTGTTACTAGTGTAGTGTCTGTTATGAACGCGGCGGGTCCAGGGCTTTTTGAAAAAGATGTGTGTGTGCGTGTGTGTGTGTGTGTGTGTGTGTGCGTGCTTGCGTGTGTGCACGCTAGTCAAGGCTTCCTGGCCTCTTTGTAGGTGTCTTCCTTGACCCGTGTACTTACCTAGATCGATTTCCTGCCATCAACAGCCTGGTGGGCCGCATCAATGTGCGCAAGCGTCGTGACAGCATCATCCTTGGCAGCGTGATAGCCGTGTGCATCATTGTCCTCTTCCTTTTCATGTAATACTATTTATTCCCGTAGCTATGCAGAAGACGTTACTTCAGTAACGTCTGGCGCTAGCCAGGGTCCACACAGCTTTAATTTGGTGTTTGTTTGTGTGTTTGTTTGTGTCACGCCTGGCGCTATCCGTATCTGACGGCAAAAAAGCATAGGATGTTATAAATTTTTCAATTCTCCTTTTTTTTCAGGCATATCCTGGGATTCGAACCCGCACTATCGCCCTACATGCATTCCCCCATACACTTCGCATTCATACCCATTCTTCCAAGTTGCGTTACGTTATTATCTTGCGTTTGAAAGCCCTATTTGAATATTGCGGGAAGCTGTATGTGGCCAGCTGTGTTTGATGGTACGGTACGGTACTGGAGACGGTGTCGTATTACCCTCGATCGTACCTGTCCCGTCCCTATCCCCTACCGTACCGTGCCATCAAAGACGGCTGGCCACAATGCATATAACTCAAATAGGGCTTTCAAATGCAAGATCACAATGTGAAACAACTTGGAAGAATTAGTATGTATGCGAAGTGCATCGGGGGATGAATGCAGGGCGCGCGATAGTGCGGGTTCGAATCCCAGGTTATGTCTAAAAAAAGGAATTTTTTAAAGAATTTATAACATCCCTATGCTTTTTTTTTGTCTAGGTCATCAAGGCAAAAAAGCATAGCGTAGGGCCCTGAGCTTCCAAGCTCTCTCGTTGGCGCATCCGCTGGCTGCGGTGCTTGCTGACCGGGTGACCGGTAGCCTTCAGTCCATCCTGCTGCTGCTGCTTATCGAGCACTAGCACAGGGACTGCCTGCCATTGAGCTTTTTAAAAGCTGTCCATGTACAAATTGTATTCACCCGTCCCACCATGCGATTCTATACTCTCTTTCTATTCTGCTCTTTCTGTTCATGATTGCATGAGCGACCATAGCCATGCGTCTTCTCCAGCCCTGCGAGTCATGTGCCCGACGAAAGTGCAACAGTGCTTGCTTGGTGCGCCTTTCGTTGAATTCTATCCCGTTTAACTTGACGAGGATAACTTTTACAAGTACACAAAGTGGCGGCAGAGTGCAGTGCACCTTGACTGACGAGCGGCTCCACGCTGTACACGTACATGTACATCAGGCGTATCAGTGAACATACTGTTGTTATTGCATATCTTATTCTTGTACAATAGTTGAATGCACGTTGTTGGCCCAATAGCTGGACATGACGTATCCGTATACTGACATATGTCTGTATTATATTCATTGTTTAAATTTGTTTTCATATTAATTTATCTGCCAATAGTTTGCACAGAAGGCTGAATATGCTCTTATGTTTTTTTTCTATAATCATTTAATGTGCTGAATCTCTCCAGGTCTCCTAGCTTATATTTTATAGACGTGCTCGCTCGCTTTACATGCTGCGTAGGAGGACTTGAGTATTGCTCCGATGGGAATCGGGGGGGGGAAAAAAAAAAAGCGCCAATGTTGACTGGGGTTCTATTTCCAGGCTCCCCTGGAAATTGATTTCCCACGTGCTGCCTATGCATTGAAGGCTTTCATTTCTTGAGCTGTGCAATGTTTTTTTCTCCATGAAGTCTAAAGTTGAAGTTGCAATTTTGTGTGCAGTGTTCTGTATAATTAATTAATTATTCGCATGCTGTAGCCGAAAGATTGAACAGCAACAAGAATGTGCAAAGCGTAATACATGTATACCCACACATTATGCCTATGCTGTGTGCAATGAAGGAGAACATACATGTACATGGACTCGTAGTGCCTATGTGAATGGCCCGATAGCGGAATGGTAAATGATTGTATGCCCTGCCAGACATGCAGAGGCCAACTCTGCAAGAAATTCACCCGAGGCCGAGGGGTTCTGTATCATTGTGTATGCCGGTACACCAAGTGACTTGGCAAAGAGTCCTTGCCCCTTGGACTCTTTGTCTTTGAAGCCTGATTCGTCTTTTAAACATCAGGGCTGAGGTCAGGGAATGACTTTTATTATGTATAAGCTATAAGGGAGCAGTCGATGCGCCAGATTTGAAAAATCACGTCGGAACACAGAGTTCTATTTTTCAGATACACCCTTTTTGGGCACTTTTCTCAAGGCATTCTCAACATACGATCGTTTTCATGTATGTACGTGCTGGCCAGTCTCACGCTTTCTCGGAGTTATTCGTCACACTCGAGGATTCAGTAGTCGCCTTTCACCTTTTTCTGTTATGAGTTCTTCAAGAACGACGAAATTCTGTAGTTTGGTGTCGCTACACGTCGGTTTGTCTCTTTTCCTTTTTTCGTCGAAATTTCGTCGCCCGACCTATAATTTCGTGCCACCGAATTAACCAGGCATTTCGCTGCTTCTATGCTGGACGTATCGAAAGAGTAAGTCTTTGTGACATTGGAGCGGAAGTTATGTTCTGGCCGAAAAAAGGGCATGCCTCTGGTGACGTGATTTCTAACTAGTGTTTTTACGTATATTTTCCATGCATGTGTGCACAGATGTCAGCGGCAGGAAGACCCAGCAATGCCACAACTGGCACAAGCATACATACTTGACGACCATGTGGCCCAGAATGAAGCATTTGCTCCAAAGTGCCATCTGACAAGCGATTTACACATGACTCAATGCTGTCAGATTGGCAAAATTGGCAAAAGCTACACACATGCACATCCATCACGTCAGGCCAATGCATTTATTGCAAGTGCGTCAAAGCACTACGACGCCAAGTATGCACAGCAGGGAAAGAAAATAAGCCACCAGTCAGCCAAAGCACATGCAGTGTACATGATTGCAGCGGAGCGGCATCCGTACACTGTCCTGCAGACAAACTGCGCGTGCACAGTCTGAAAGAACAGTGCGAACCGCTTCTGTGCCCAACCCATTACCAGCAGTGTGTGGGCCATGCAACATGTGCTTGGTGTAAGTCGAGACTCACACCAGAACACAGGTGGAAGTCACCAAACTTTCAGCTTGCAGAGCATGTGTTGCGTAGCATGCACCATGTCAGGATTTCAGACGAGAGTCGATTTTGTAGACGCTGCTACCAAAAGCAAATTGACATGCTCCCTGCCGACAATGCACCAAGCACAGACCACCAATTGCGAAGCATCATCTCTCAGTACAGCACGGAAGGTGCCGAGAGTGATTTCCCCAATATTATAGTCATTGCCGCTACAGGACGGGAATTGCTGGACAAGGATGCCATATTGTTGACAACAGTGCACGATTTGTATACAGAGACTTTGCACCCAGCTGCTGACCCCAAGCCAGCGGCATACGTGCTCGGCAAATTGAAGTTGACCCTGGAGCACCACTTGCACGTCATTCCACCTAAGTCGCGGAAGGATGGCACATTGCTGCTACGCAATGGATGTAATGTAATGCTGAGAAGGCACTACATATGATCCTTTCTGCAGAGCGTAAACACAAGATAGAGCAAACACCAACAAAGCTGGAAGACCTCACTCTGCCATGCTCACAGCACAATTGATAGCCAGCAACCGAATAATACATGTACTTCACAAATATGGGAACCCATTTACACCAAGTGCTATTATCGGACAATGCCATTATGCTCCTAGCACGCAGTACAAGAAAATTATAGAGCTTCGCCAGCATTGCCTTGATTTTGTCGTAATGTGATGGTGTGTGCGTGTGTGTGTGTGTATGTGTGTGTGTTTGAACATGGGAACCCATTTACACCAAGTGCTATTATCGGGCAATGCCATTATGCTCCTAGCACGCGGCACAAGAAAATTATAGAGCTTCGCCGGCATTGCCTTGATTTTGTCGTAATGTGATGGTGTGTGCGTGTGGTGTGTGTGTCACTGTGTGTGTGGGTGGTGTGTGTATGTGTGTGTGTGTGTGTGTGTGTGTGTGTGTGTGTGTGTGTGTGTGTGTGTGTGTGTGTGTGTGTGTGTGTGTGTGTGTGTGTGTGTGTGTGTGTGTGTGTGTGTGTGTGTGTGTGTGTGTGTGTGTGTGTGTGTGTGTGTGTGTGTGTGTGTGTGTGTGTGTGTGTGTGTGTGTGTGTGTGTACATTACATATTGCCCTATCAAAAATATATAAATAAACTCGGATGGTGAGCCAATGTAATCATGGATAAAAAGAATAAGGACAAAATGTTACGAGTTATGACTAACTGTCCACCATGTACCAATGTCGCTAGATCATATACAGTCGGCGAGCGCGACAAAAAGGCACAAACTGACAGGGAATACTAAGACATACAACGACCAAATAATATTCAAGTTAATTTCGAAATGTCTATAATTTCGTGCCGTCGGATTAACCAAGCATGCAACGAAAGGAAAGGTATACACGCTTAGACATATATTATTAGGCAATTATCTGCACCAACCTGCATTCCGGCCGAAGCATCATGTCGGGTGTGGTGGGTCGGCATTCCGGCGTATCTCCACACACCAGGAAAATCGTGAAGCGAGAATTCCCTCGTCTGCAACTGGCAAAGTCTTCACTTGACACTCAAGTTGAAATTTCTAGATACCTAGCTAATAGGAGCAGACTTCAGGACATTTGTCGCACTCGGGAATCGTCAGTTCGATCCGTACAGGGTTGGTTAGACACAAGAAATATAGCAAATTTCATTGACTGACATCTTCATCTTTACCAACACAGTTCACCACATAAACTTTCGCGCGAAAAAATAAAAAGACCCACTCAGCTGGCTTGGCGCATCGACTGGGAGTAGTCATCCAGGCAGTATTTCAAGGTATCTGATACAACTCCCTGGCCCTGTCCCTGATGGCGGTGATACTGACGTACACATACGCTGTGTATTAATGTTATGACGTCACCTCATATGTCACGTACATACACGCACGTACACATTATGTACATGCGCTATGCATGCATTTTATTTCGATTTTTGTTGAAAGAGACACGATATACGCGTGGTCTAGGTCTACGTAGATGATTCTTTGCAAATGCAAAAGTAAAGTGACTAGTCCAAGGACGCTGACTGTTCTGACCTTCGTTGAAGTCTTCCACGATCTAGTTAGTTGATGGTGCTATAAGAAAGTCTTGGGGAAGCGCTGTTGCCTGGGAGAGATTTCACTGCAATGTCGTCTGCCGATACTCCGAGCACAACTAGTGCGAGTGCTGCGACATCCACCTCGACACCTAGTCTGGTGACGACTGGGCTGAGTGCTGTGACCAGCAGCAACACTGGCACAGTGGGTACAGTCTGTGCCACTGCCAACAGACAGCCCATCGCTGCCAATGGGAATGGCCGAACGCCCGGTGTGCTCATCAGCAGTTCGTCCAATGCTACTTCAGCGAGATCTCTACCGACACTGGTTGGTAAGTGTTCACTTCACTGCATCCTGGTCGGCCTGGAGGGAAGTACATTGTACAATCATGTACAATCGACATGTACATTCAGTGAAACTTCAGTATCACGTACCTCCAAGGGCCATACAAAAACTGTGCTTTATACAGACCTCCCGGCCACCTCAAATCAGGACATTAGAGAGGTTAAGATGCACGTTATTTCCGACGTGACGCGCAATTTCACGTCAAATTTGGCGTAAAACTCAAAATTTCGACGTGAGCAGCAGGTCACTCGCGTTGATTTTTCGACGTGCGAGCAAATAACGCGAGCTGAACTTTCGGGTCACGTCAGAAATAACGTGCATCTTAACCTCTCTACTGAAAAGATCTGAAAGCACCCAACATGGTACAGTCAGGCCTCGTTTATCCGGTCCTCTTTTATCCGGATCCCTCGCCATCCGGAAGAAAATCGTTGGTTACCGATTTACAGCATATGCCATGCATACATACAGTGTGTGTGTTCGATTATCCGGTTCCCTCGCCTATCCGGATATTTTTTTGTGGAAAACGGTTATGCGAGGTCTGACTGTACAAGTGGGCATGAAGCTGCCATGACAGCCAAAAAATATGTTATCGGGTACTACAAGGTGACAAGTCGCATGAGCATGAGCTCCATGTCTGATAAGTGCTTGCATCAGCCACCTATTCCGTGTGCATGTGACGGATTGTAATCTGTTATCCGAGTTGAGACGTGAAAAGTGGGACAAAAGTGTGGATATCTCATGAAATCGGGATAATTTCATGTATAGCCAAGTACAAGGTATATCCAAGGTCAATTTCGTGACTGGTACACGTACAGGTACATGTGTGGCATAATGCAGAAATGTGTACTTTATATCCCTTATGGTTACGCCACCTGTTATCTTCTGGGTGCTGAGTCACAACGGTGTTGGTTCGAGGAAGTTACGGCGCTCCGTTCGTCCTATATTCTCAATTGAATCCGTGCACGTCCTCAGAAATGGAAACGACTTCGAAGTACAAGTGCTAGATAGGGACTTATCTGTCACTTAAGGTGCCATTTCGTTTTATGGGAGCACAGACCAAGATGAAAATTTCAGAACATGTAGTCTGCTGGGTGCAGAACCGGATGGTGTTGATTTGAAGAGTGCGCGACACATCAGTCTTCCCTTATTCCGAATCAAATATGGTCCTGTTTCACCACTTAGGCATCAGCTGATGATCAGTTGATTGCCCTGCATGTAGCTGCAACCAACCAGCGACCTTTTGCAGAGATTGATGTATTAGATTTCTGCATGCTGTCCTTGCACTCGAGTATACTCTGATGTAGTAAAACATGTAGTACATGACTGTGTAGTCATCAGTTTATGCATAGTCGATGGGTCCGCTTGTTTCATCCACAAGTTTGCTAATGCCTGATGGATTGAAAGTAAGGGGAGGACTAAATTAATGCTGTTGAGAGAAATGTTGCCGAGAAACGTTGCTCTTTGCTGTGAACAGATGCTGAAAGTTACCAGGGGTCATTTTACTTTGTAGGTGCCAATCTACGATTTCTGTAATCATGGGCTTGCTGTGTGTGTGTGTGTGTGTGTGTGTGTGTGTTTGTGTGTGTGTGTGTGTGTGTGTGTGTGTGTGTGTGTGTGTGTGTGTGTGTGTGTGTATGTCTGCGTGTGTCTGCGTGCGTGCGTGTGCGCATGTGTGAATGTCACAGGAATTGATCCTTTACCATCAACAAGTGAACCGTCGGTAAGAACTGGACGTGGTGTTGGTTTGAGCCGTAAATGACACACTTTACAGTATTGGCCGGAGAATTCCTCTTCCTTTCTGTGGAGAAGGCAGTGACAGTGTCAGTGACAGTGTCAGTGTCAGTGACAGTGACAGTGACAGTGTCACGTGTGAATTTTAAAGCGGTGCAGTTCAGTGGTTGTGATCGGTGTGATCGGTGTGATCGGTGTGTGTGTGCATTTGTGTGTATGCCCTTGCATCGTACACTGTAGATAATGCCAAGGAAGCGCTTACATGACCTTGTGCAGGAGATTAACCCAAACCAGTCACTCGATGAAGAAGTGGAAGAGGTAAGACTGTTGAGTGGGTTTATAGCTCAAGGGCTTTTGCTCACATAGTTAAATTGAAATTGTCTCTTGACTGAAGATAGGACTGGTCGAACTGTCCTTCACCTTCGCGTTTTCGAATCCATACCGGTGTGATCTCTCTCGATCGAGCGAGCGAGCGATCGATCGATCGATTCATCCTTTGTTTCTCCTGTACATCGTACAACGAAAAGGAATAGAGCTACATATTTTTAATAACTTGCAGGCAAGTCAATTCACTCAAGTGTCGATATGCTCTGTATTTTACCCAAGCCTAGTATTATCTAATATATTTCGGTCTTCGTTGTCAGGAGTCATGTTAATTACGGTCATGGAAATAAAGCAGCAGTATACAAATCGAACGACCAAGTGACAACCTGATGTCCCTTGTTGAGAATATTGGTTTTAACATGTACTCCCTTACAGTGGCTTCCCTTACTCTTGTAACTTCTTGTAATCTATTGGTCTCGTCTGCATTTAGAATTTATGTACATAGAAAAATTGTGGGACTTGTGCTGATAATTCGAAGTTCGCAAAGTGTAATTCGAAGTTCGCTGTGCATTATACAAGTCAGTTCAGCGTCCGCGAAATCTGTGTCTTAAGGTGCATAGCGCAACTCTGCATGACAATGAGAGCATAGCGCAACTCTGCATGACAATGAGAGCATAGCGCAACTCTGCATGACAATGAGAGCATAGCGCAACTCTGCATGACAATGAGAGCATAGCGCAACTCTGCATGACAATGAGAGCATAGCGCAACTCTGCATGACAATGAGAGCATAGCGCAACACTGCATGACAATGAGAGCATTTTGAAATACATAATGACTGTGTTTTGGGGTCATGTTCTGCATAATTTGAATGTCCGGATAATTAGAAGCTTTTCTTGGAAATTTGGGGTTCGAATTATCAGGATTCTGCCTGTATCTCTTATTCGGACTTGCATGTATAACTGTTTTTAAAAGTGCACATCGTCAGGGGATTCTGGATCCTTGTCTACTAATGAGGATTGTCTTGTGACCAACGTTGTACTAACGAGGGTAGACCAGTAGGCTGTAATGAGACAGGTCTCCATGCCAGTTGAGTGAGTGTTTGACTGTGCACCCTTGCATGGCAACTTGACCTGCGCTATCCTCTGTGCTGCTGCTTTCACGGTACCTCTCTCCTATCCCCTAGTTCCTGTTATCATCCATCGACTCGTTTGTGGACAGTGCCATTGGGCAGGCATGCGAGTTTGCCAAGCATCGCAACAGCACCACGCTTGGCACGCGAGACCTACAGTTGTACCTGGGTGAGTGCTGTGCGGCGGCGGGGAGCTTTTGATGTGATGATGATCATGATGACGAGAGAGCTTGGAAGCTCAGGGCCCTACGCTATGCTTTTTTGCCTTGATGACTTAGACAAAAAAAGCATAGGGATGTTTCTTATAAATTTCTACTTTTTGTTTTTAGACATAACTTGGGATTCGAACCCGCACTATCGCCCTGCATGCATCCCCCGATACACTTCGCATACATACTAATTCTTCCAAGTGGCTTCACGTTATGATCTTGTATTTGAAAGCCCTATTTGAATATGCATTGTGGCCAGCCGTCTTTGATTGTACGGTACGGTACGGGACAGGTACGGTCGAGGGTAATGCGACACCATCTACCGCCTTGATGACGGCAAAAAAAGAATAGGGATGTTATAAATTTTTCAATTCTCCTATTTTTTCAGGCATTACCTGGGATTCGAACCCGCACTATCGCCCTACATGCATTCCCCCATACACTTCGCATTCATACTCATTCTTCCAAGTTGCTTCACGTTATGATCTTGCGTTTGAAAGCCCTATTTGAATAGTGCGGCCAGCTGTATGTGGCCAGCTGTGTTTGATGGTACGGGACAGATACGGGATAGCGCCAGGCGTGACACAAACACCAAATGAAAGCTGTGTGGACCCTGGCTAGCGCCAGATGTTACTGAAGTAACGTCTTCTGCATAGCTACGGGAATAATGTGGTTTTGCCTGGGTGAGTGCAGTGCGGCGGGGAGCTTTTGATGTGATGATGATCATGATGATAATGTGGTTTTGGGGAAAACAGTATCTCTACCTGGTATTACTGTACTGGTACACAGAAGTGGAGTACATGTACTCCACTGAGTGGAGAGTGTTGAACACCGTAAGGTGGAGACTGCACATGCAACAGGGAGCAAGGACTACTTGCTACAACTCAGTGTTGCATTGTTTTTAACGATCCGAATCACAACTACTGAAGTAATTTTCCTCACTTGCTCACTGATGTAGATTTCGCTATTACCGTAAAGTACAGTGCAGTACATGGTCATGTTTCTCATGTTTACAGTACAGTCAACTTCGCTAATAACGACTGCGGATATAACGACAATTCGCGAATAACGACAGAATTTCCATGCCCGGAGCTAAGTCCCATCTAACTGTGATACATATAATGAGACTTCGGGTATAAGGACACTTTTCTGATGCCCGCCCGAGTGTCGTTATTCGCAAAGTTGACTGTAGATGTCAGCCATCTTTATCAGGACTACTGTAAGACATGTATATATAACGAGGAAGCAAATCTAACGTTTTAACGGATGACATTTCTTCGTTATAATAAGATCCGTTGAGGCCGTACTGCTTCATATATGCTGTGTGTGCATATGGCAGAATACTGCAAGATCGTTAACCTATGAATTTTGGACAATCGTTAAATTTGCGACTCGTTATAATAACATGTCTTACAGTATGTATACATGCACAGTTCATGCACAGTTCATGCACAGTTCATGCACAGTTCATGTATCTTGGTTCTGTTTTCCACTACAATGTGCTCGCTGCTCTAGAACGAACTTACAACATGTACATACCTGGATTCGGCACGGAGCGTGCTAGACCCTACAAGAAGCCATTCACCACCGAAGCACACAAGCAGGTAGGTTTTAGAGTTGACCGCCTTCAGACCAACAGCCTGCCGGATCACCTGTGTGTGTGTGTGTGTGTGCACGTGTGTGCGCCACCCACCTACAGCATCGGCCTATAAACTGCACCCTGCTGCCCTTCATACATGTGTCATAAGTGCGTGGCTGCTCACAGCTCTATACACGAGGACCTGATTGTGTATTCCATTGGTTGTTACTGTACAATGAATGGCACGGTCGATTGTACATGTACTGTGTGTGTGTGTGTGCTACATCAACTGCCTATGCCCAGGCAGCTGTATGCTATGCAATGTACTACTGTGCGAGTACTTAATAGTGCCTCAAGCAAAGGTCCCTGGTCCGAGTCCTGGTGGTGACAGTCAATCTTTTTCAGACTTTTCCCGTTTGCATCTTTCCCTCGGACCAATGAGTACTAGTGCATGTGCGCAATCGAGGTCCACGTGACGGCGAATTGACTGCAGTGCACTGAGCAATGTTTGCCGCTACATTGGACGGAAGGGCGTGTGTTCTTCGTTGCCGTCTTTGCAAACTTGAACGGACTTGCATTCGCTTGCCATGGAGAATACCTGGTAGTGGCTGTGCTTGCCTGCATGGACTCCGACATGTAACTGATCTTTGGGCGGGTTTGCCATTTCTACTACGGCCAGGACGACGCCACGGTTGTGTCAACTTTAGTTACTTTACATACAGTAGAGTCGTGCGCCGAAGAAAGTTGAGCGAAGAACGTCCAGCCTGAAATGCTAAGAACGCCACAGCCTAAAGTTATGAACGGCGGTGTTGGTTTTCCGGCAGCTTTCGGGATACGTATGATCCACGTATGATTGTTTCTAAGAACGTGCTATAAGAACAAAGCCGGATTACTGAAAATAAAGAACGCCCCAGGCTAACCCCTTGGACACAATGTTCTTGGACTCGCGACTCTACTGTAGCACTATGTACTAGTACCATAAAGTACCGTTGATCCGCCCCCACGCCATGTCGCTTCCCAGCTGGGTTTCTGGCAGGAGGCGGGAATTAGATCAAGGCTGTCAAGTGCAGTGCGATGTACAACAACGTGGAGGATCAGACTCGATGTGCTGGATTGTGCACATTTTCATCCTGCACTGGCACGTATAGTGTACTGCAGTGCATGCGTCGGTTCAACATCGTATTTCGTTGTATACGCCGAAGTCGCTTCACAGGTAGAAAATCGGCAGGGGGCGGAAATTAGAGAGGGAGCGGGAATTAGAGAGGGGGCGGGAATTAGAGAGGGGGCGGGAATTAGAGAGGGGGCGGATCAACGGTACTGCAGTCCTAGCCAGAGAAATCCAACCTCATGAATAAACTAGAGCCGGGCACTACGCAGCACTAGCACTACAGACACAGTGTTTTCGTGCGCTCGAACCCGGCAGTGCTACTTTATTCATGAGGTTGGATTTCTCTGCCCAGCACTGTAGTAGTACATGTAGTAGTAGTGTAGAACGAATGTGCTGTGTGCAGTGCGGTGCATTGCCGCGGGTGGCTTGATTACTGCTACTAGTAATACTCGGTGCTGTTTGTTTTTTCTATGTGCCAACAGAGGTTGAACCTGATTAGAAAAACGACCAAGAAGTGAAGCACATCACCTTGCAGCGAACAACACACTTTGCTACAGTCTTGCTTCAAATTATTACCGGTACTATTTTTAATCTTTTTTTTAACCGTGCTATCCAGTTATCCAGGTGCATGACATTGTATAACCGTATCATAAAGGCGGCATTGAGAACACGGCTGCTGAATGCATTGCATAAAGCCCGAAAATAGATGGTGTGTGCATTTCTCAGTTGTTTATTTGTTTGTCCCGACTAGACCCCGAATTTCAACGACTTTGTTTGTTTAGCACAGCATTCGCTCTCTGCACCAGCTAGCAATGCATAGCAAGCCATGTCAATAGTTCATACTGCTCTACGATATTTTGATTCATACTGGATCAATGAAACCTCGGCAGCAGCAGCAAGCCATTGTGCGCCGATGCCATTAGAAAATTCATCCGGCGTTGCTCACAATAACAACTTACAAAATGATTATACTCGTCTGTGTGTGTGGGGGGGGGGGGGGGGATCTAAACATGCACACACTGCATGTGATAGGTAAATGTGGTGCACTTGCCAGCAGTGCATGCAACAATCATGTACATACATGAATCTTGAAAGAACTAGAATGTGCCATTATACGGTTCCCACTACTAGCACTAAATACGCCAGTACAGTCTTGAGACGAACCAAACTGTGACAAGTCTCCACTAATGATCAAAGGAATTGCAACAAATGCACTGTATTCCACAAGAAAAAAAAAGGGGAGATGTGCTGAACACTTGATCACTCCCACCAATCTCAGCCAGCTGAGCGTAGCGGAGAGGAAGGTGTTTGGGGCATGCGTAGTGGTGCGTAGTAGCGGGCAGCTCAATGCTCTGGTGCTTGGCACTTGGCTTGCGTTTACCAGTACCCTTCTGTTCTTCTGCTGTCAACGCCACGGCTCAGTCCTTCCAGTTTGGTTTGCGCTTGCCGAAGAAAGCATCAATTCCTTCCTGGCAGTCGTCTAGCTTTGCATTCTGTGCCATGTAGTGAGATGCTACCCTGTATACACACAACCATCACCATCACCACCACCAACAACAACAACAATAAAGAATTCAAATTCGAAACAACAACAGCAACAACAACAACAACAACAATATCACAACAGCAGCAGCAGCAGCAAGAAAGTTAACACCAGCAGAGCAGCAGTGATATTTATACCCTGCAGAAGATCCTTGAGGGTGGCGGCGTTCCTACGGATGCGGAAAGCTCGGTCTCTAGCCGAGCCTCGCGCAGACCGTGAATATGGACACTCAGTGTACAGTAGAGTCGTGCGCTGAAGAACGTGGAGCTCAAGAACCTCCAGCCTGAAATACTAAGAACGCCACAGCCTAGAGCTAAGAACGGCTGTGCTGGTTTTCTGGCAGCTTGCGGGGTGTATACGATCATGTACGCACTGTTGCTAAGAACGTGCTATAATTTATATAATAAGAACGCAGCCAGATTGCTGAAAAAATAAGAACGTCCCAGGCTAACCCCTTGGAAACAACTCCATTCCTACCTGTAGGCTGATTCCAGGGATTTCTCCTTGGCAATCTCAGAAAGTGCCACTTTGCCATGCGTTAGAACTTCCTTGCTCAGGCCGCTCAGGTGATTCACCAGGCTGTTTGTCTGAAACCGGCAAAGTAGACAGAAAGAGAAATGGGAACCCGAAGGCACGTCAGCACAAGACAGAACTCAATGCTGCACACCTAGCAGCTCTCGGGCTCACTCAGCGTGTGATCGTGAATCATGATGATGTGCGAGTGTACGAGTGTACATGCATGTCAGACAGTCTATGGTACTTCATCAGACAGTTTATGCCAGTAGTCGGCATGCGTATGCGTGACAATAGCCAGTCACATAGCACCAGTCTATACAGTCAGGGGCGTCGGAACCGGTGCGGCAGGTGCGGCCAAAGCCGCACCAATAATTTTCGAATTTTTTTTTACATTTCAACCTTGTTGGTGGCTTGTCGACTCTTGTACAGGAACCATGTTTTACATCGACAATGTGGTGTATCATCAGCATGCATATTCTTTTTATTATTCTATAAAGGTTGAATTCTGGGCTTCGACCTAGCACTCCCAGGTGTGTGTCCTTACCGCTGACTCCAACTCATCATCCGGCACCACCTTGCTGACCAGACCGTGTATCAGGGCCTCTGCAGTCAGGTGTTTGCGCAGCCACGCACCATTCACACACATGTACACATGCACACACGCATGCGCACGCACACACACATACACGCACACACACGCACACACACACACACATAGACACAATCAGTACAAGCTCACAGTAAATTAGTGGAGCAACACCCAGGCCAACAGGAGCAAATATCCTAGCAGTCACACACATCCTACCACAACATCTGATGATACCAAAATGGACAACTGTCACAGAAAGGCTACGCCACCTGGCCAAAGCAGAGTGCACTACAGTCCATTCATAAAAAGATGGGCCCTGGCTCTGGCGAGCTCCCGTATTTGGCGATTTTTCGTGATTTCATCGTACACAGTGCAGTGCTGCGAAATTTGAAATTTGAAAAAGGGTCCAAAAAGGGTACCTGAACTGGGGTTCGAACCGCACAATGCACTGTTGCAGGCGGGGTCAAACGGCCTGGATTTTTACGGGGTTTCCCAATTCAATGCTTTGGGGGCAAAACCTGGCCGAAATCCTATTCTTGTTATGGCTTGCTTTTTGGACAAAAAAACTTCAGAAACATAATTGGAAGAGGATTCCATAGGGGATTGCAGAAAAAAATTCTAAAAAAACTCAAAGTTTGACCCATTTATGGCCAAAAGCTAGAAGTCCATCTTTTTCTGAATGGACTGTAGAGTGTCTCATTACCCTGTGCGGAGATGGGCTCGCCTGTGAACAGCATGTATGCACCCTTCTTCTCCGATATGCAGCGTAGCAGTGGAACCGATGGAGTAGTGCAGAACAAGCCAATGTTGACACTGCAGAAAGTTACGGGAGAGACAGAGTGAGAAGACAGAGAGAGGGGGGACAGAGGGAAACACACAGAGAGAAAGAGAGAGAGAGAGAGAGAGAGAGAGAGAGAGAGAGAGAGAGAGAGAGAGATAGAGAGAACGAGCGAGAGAGAGAGAGAGAGAACGAGCGAGAGAGAGAACGGGCGAGAGAGAGAACGAAAGAGAGAGAGAACGAGAGTAGGAGTAATTTACATTCATATAGATGACAATTGTTATAATCACGATCAAGAGGACAAGCTAAATGGACATGTAGATACTTTACTTCTGGCACCTGGCTTGTATATCGGGCACTGAAGTAAACGCAACATCTCAACACACCCGTGCACCGCTAAGAAGAGAAACATGGTCGACAATGACATTGCAGTGTGTCAAGTCTGTCAGTGCACTCAACCTACCCCGGGGTGGCGAATCGGGCACTCTCGCCGGCCAGAACCATATCACACGATGCAACAAGTTGACAACCAGCCGCCGTCGCTAACCCTGGGCACACAGCACGTAAAGCACAGTGAAACACTTCAGTATGAGGCACCACGGGATATTGCATGCTATGGGATATACAGTACAGTATACGGGTCCTTTACTGGATAAAACGTTCCATTGGATATAAACTACACTGGATATACCGTAAAGTCGCGGATAAAAGCCGGGCTTATAAGCACATAAGCCGCTTTCTGCATCAGGCTTCAATGCAAACCAGGCTTGTATGCAAACCATGCTTATATGCACCACTGATATTTTTGCCAGGCTTGTAAGCACATCGGCCGATCCGGGCTTGCATAGAAGCCAGGCTTCTATGCGCGACACGCGTAGATCTACCACTGACTACCGGTATGGCGGCAGTTTTACTATGCACTGTACATAGCGCATGCACTCTTGACCTACCCGATCCGCGCTTGCATAGAAGCCAGGCTTCTACGCGCGACAGGCTTATATGCATTGACTCGTTTGATTTTCAGGCTTCTATCTGCGATGTGCTTGTATGCAAACCTGGCATTTATCCGCGACTTTACGGTAGCCTGCTATTGGATACAAAGTATTGTTTTGCAAACCCTGCATGATGCTACTACACCAGTCATTTGACATTCGATAGACATTACCTCAGCTATAAAGTACAGATTTGTACACACAGCCCTTGCAGTGTGCTAATACTGCAGGTTTACTGTGTGCTTCAAAGTACATGTACTGTACTAGTGGAAGCATCCAATACACAGGCTCATGTACCAGTATTGCTCCAAAGAAAGACCCACCGACCCACACACACACACGAAAGCACATAAAAGCTCTATTGCAAAGCCTTACCAGCTACTTGAGCCACGACAGGAACAGGGAAATTCTGACAGGATGCAACGGCACAACACACAGCAGACTGCTGTCATTAGCTTGGTAGTGCAGTGCATGCATTTGTATAGACTTGCCCGAGGTACTCACAACCAAACGTAGCTGGGCCTAGGCCATTCTTGTTTTTCATGCACTACAGTCTGTGTATGGTTGAACCATCAAACACACACCGGTATACTGTAATTGATGACATTCTAATTTCTAACGTATTTGTCCCCCGGCATGTCAATGGTAGACCAGTTGGAAGTCGAGCCCCCAGCGAAGCGTCCTTGTCCCCCCTCCCTGCTGGATGACATGCTAGCCGACAGTGATGATGAGTCACGGGAGTCTACTAAGAGCTGTGTGACGGAAGTGGCGACTTACTTGCAGGTCTCTCTCTCTCTCCCTCCCTCCCTCCCCCCCCCCCCCCCCCTCTCTGTCTGCCTGTCTCTGTCTCTGTATCTCTCCCTCTCTTACGTAATTGTATTACTATACCCAGGCGACTTACATGAATAGTCTGCATGACAAAGGAACACAGGTCGAACAGCTCCTTGGGTGTTGGTGAGGAGATCGGTTGCCTCTGCCACACGAACACAGGAAACAAGCAGATCCAGCACATGTTTCAAGTGCATTCAATCTACTAGTATTCATCGACAACCAGAAGCACATGTACGCAGAATTGCAAATAGAACACTTCCCGGAATATCATATTTCAGAAAATGCAAACACAAAAATGCAGAGACGTACAAGACACAGCCCAAAAAACTGCTGCATCACTTTCTGCACAACCATAACGATATTCACCAGCATTCTACTTCATATACTAGTACAGTGGATATCGGTTATAAAGTCATCGGATATAGTGATAAACCGGCTATATTGATACAAAATGAAAATATCAAAAGCAAAACCAGAAAAAGCCAGTCAAATTATCATTATAACCAATACATTGGATATAGCGATAAATCGGCTATAAGGATACAGAATCACCATTCAAATCACCTCTTTGTGTAGAAAAAGTATCGTCTATAGTGATAGCAACACACGAGTGTGAGGCATTGATGTCTCGCCGAGTTGGAGCCACATGTGTGTTTTCATAGTGTTTTCTGGTCTAAAGCTTCCTGGATGATGGCTTTGGGCCAAGATGTTCTTCACTCTAGACTGAGGAAGGTGCAGCAGCATGCATCATGTATCAGTACGCTACATTAGCGCGATCGAGTACCCACACGTGTATAATGTGTATGTATGACGAGCGCAGTTGAAAATCGCCTGTAGTGATATACCGGTTATAGTGATAAAATGTGAAAAATCAGAAGGGCACGTTATAACCAATATCTACTGTAGTAATATACATGAAGTAGTAAGTAGTAATATATCTACTCCATGTACTAGTACTACAGTAGTAGTAATATACATGAAGTACCAAGAATACATGCATGAAGAGGCAACCGCTGGACGGTGGCAATGCTCAGACAGGGAGTCTGGAAGACTGAATGTATTATAATATAATACATTCAGTCTTCCAGAGATTATCAGACAGACAGGGTATCTGTCGTATCATCCGCAGAACTACATGTACATGCGCAGGTGCTGGGTGAAGTGAGATGTGCCTCGTACCAGGCTGCCTTGCACTGTCGTAATCACGGCAGGCTCGACGTACTCCACACGTCACGTGCCAGAGCTGATCTGGGATGTGTTCAAGCTCAGTTGGCCATGTCTTTGTTGCAATCATGTGCGTTCCTGGACTCTGGAGCTGGTCGTACTTGCAGATCGAGACAGGTCTGTTTCACGTAGTACTGGTAAGTTACATTGTACTACAGTACGAGTGAGTACATGCAAGGATTAAATAAACCAATCCAATCCAAGGATGTGCTGTTTGAAGTACATAGATGGCAAGCGCTGTAATAATGCTACAGTGCGTATCGGTTATAGTGTGGTTGTGTAAAAGAATATACTGCCTACAAGAATAAACTCTCATGTTTTCATAATCATAACATGGGTTTCAAGTGCACATTTATTCTTACAAGCAATTTTATCGTACAGTAGAATATATCGGTCCTAAGAATGGACTTTGTGTAGCAAAACATGCCACATTAGTACAAAGTATATCGCCTGTAGTAATAACATCCGTCCAATGCGGTTCCGATCTGACTCGCGTTGGGTCGTAGTGCTGCAGCCTGTGCAGGTTCAACTGTTGTGGTCATGTAACTCATGTTGCATAGCCACATGGTAAGCCTATGTGACTATGACCAGCCGCATGCACAGTAACACTACATTGCATGTATGATGATCTTCCTGCCTCTGCGTACATGCACATGATATGTCACACTTGAGTTATCGTGTGTAAGAAATATCGGAAATAAGAATAGAAAGTCGTTTTTCAAACACACACGCTATAACCGATACCTACTGTACTTGCGAATCATCATGGGTATGATAGCCAAGTGCCCACCCAATCAGAATCAAGTGTGCATACGCTGTGTGCAGATTGAGCAAGTAAAGTATCCAGACACATGTACAGAAAATCTGTAGACCCCAGGAATGGGCTCTTACTGAGTCAGGGGTGACACTTACATTCCAGATCACTGATCTAATCAATAGACAGTAGACAGATCAGCTAAAAAGAAGCATACACCTACAAGTTCAGAAAGGTCATGGCCAGACGAGAAGACCTTGCCCTTGGCGGAAATGACCACGCACGACAGGTTTTCATCGCGCTTAGCGTCTTCGGACGGCATCAGCGCTGTGCCGAGTGCTTCCAGCATGGCATACGACAAAGCATTGCTGAGCACACGGACACAGAAAGACGGACAGAATTGTTTTCTGACGTCAAGAGATGCGAAAGAATCAGCCATTTTGGAAATTATATGCCGCACTGTCTTGAATAAAAGCCTGTCTCGTACAGGAGCCCATCTTGTATACGTACATGTACGAGTCTGATTTTCCAGATGGACCTTCGGCACATACGCCTGCTTTTTGTGTTGATAACCGGGTTTGCACGGAAATACAAGGTGTGAACAGAAGACTAGCCATCGCGTCAGCCTCTACAGGAATACGCCCGGCCTTTGTACACGCCATTACGCTTATTGCCAGTCACATGCCTATAGCTCTGTGGCAGGACAATGGCGAGCGCAAATAGCTGAACACACCAAAATGAGCAAAGCAGCAAACTAACTTCTGTATTTCACTGGGTTGTTAACATGAACACGCGGAGCTCACTGACTTTTCAGTTTGAGCACTCCAGCAAGGTACGTTCGGGCCTGGTTTAAATCTGGCTTTGGAAAATTTATTTTTCATTGCCATCAGGTTCGGCTTCATTTTCTCTGTGCTGCACTGATGAGTCCGCAAAGGACAAAACAGTTCTGTCCGCAGATTGAGTAATATGAACACATAAATTACTGTACAAGCAGAAATATTCGTCTGGAATTTAATTTCGTCTTTTTCGTCCAACGAGCTGTTGGACTAAATTAAATGCCGGACTAATATCGATTTCGAAAGAAAAGGTGACAGCACCGACGCAATCCACACAGTCAAGTAAGCCAATTTCGTAACCGAACGTTTTCGTTCCCTTCTCATCATGGGTAAATACAGGGAATAATGGAAAAATGTCAAATACAGCAACTTATAGAGCAAAAGCATAGATTGAGAACTCACGCTATGCGTGTGGAAAAAATAAAATTCAGCTGAACAAGTCAACAACAGGGTGAAGGTGAAGAACTGACTAAAACATAATGAAAACATCAATGAGAAGAAGCATTCCTGACACTTTCACGAGGATTAGCGCCAAACAACTGAAGCGACAAAACATTTTCCTTCTGGACACACAGTTCAGGGGACAACTTGCGAATATACAACGCTTCCAAAACAGACAAATGTAAAACAGATCTGCCACGGGCCAAAACTGAGAAGACATCATCTCTGTACAACTCACGACAACTATCACTAACCGACAGATGACTCTTGATCGCTGATTGCTGACTGTTGGAATTTCTCGTCTTCTTTGTCACCTCCGATGTCGCAGCTCTTGACTCGTCCTTTCCAATGGGCAGTCGCCTTGTTGTCACTTCCGGTACTGCAGGTCCGGACTCGTCCCTTCCATCACACTGCCCGGCCACTCGTGCGGTGTCTGACTCTTCCATTGTCTTGATCACTGGTTTTCGTGGTGGTCTTCCACGCTTCCTCCCACTAACGCTCATTGTCACTTCCAGTATCATCGACTGTTCGTCTCCTCCAGTACGCATCCTCACCTGGATGCGAGTGACTCGTCAACTGGGTGTCCCTGGCATTGTCTTCTTCGGTGTTGTTTTCACAGGTCTGCACCTCTTTGCTTTGCCGACTTGGGCCGGCCCAAGCCCAACACATGTCGCCGATGAGGAAGTCGATTGTGCTGCTGCGCCAGACGAAACTTCGGACTGGGACAATGCTTCATGTGACGCAACCTCAGTCGACGCACATTTAGGAGGGCGACCACGTCGAGGACGAGAATCACGTGCATGTACCGGGACTAACCTCAGATTATACTCATACTCAGCACAATTGACTTCCTCATCGGCGACATGTGTTGGTGTTGTGAAAACAACACCGAAGAAGACAATGCCAGGGACACCCAGTCGACGAGTCACTCGCAGCCAGGTGAGGATGCGTACTGGAGGAGACGAACAGTCGACGATACTGAAAGTGACAATGAGCGTTAGTGGGAGGAAGCGTGGAAGACCACCACGAAAACCAGTGATCAAGACAATGGAAGAGTCAGACACCGGACGAGTGGCCGGGCAGTGTGATGGAAGGGACGAGTCCGGACCTGCAGTACCGGAAGTGACAACAAGGCGACTGCCCATTGGAAAGGACGAGTCAAGAGCTGCGACATCGGAGGTGACAAAGAAGACGAGAAATTCCAACAGTCAGCAATCAGCGATCAAGAGTCATCTGTCGGTTAGTGATAGTTGTCGTGAGTTGTACAGAGATGATGTCTTCTCACTTTTGGCCCGTGGCAGATCTGTATTACATTTGTCTGTTTTGGAAGCGTTGTATATTCGCAAGTTGTCCCCTGAACTGTGTGTCCAGAAGGAAAATGTTTTGGCGCTTCAGTTGTTTGGCGCTAATCCTCGTGAAAGTGTCAGGAATGCTTCTTCTCATTGATGTTTTCATTATGTTTTAGTCAGTTCTTCACCTTCACCCTGTTGTTGACTTGTTCAGCTGAATTTTATTTTTTCCACACGCATAGCATGAGTTCTCAATCTATGCTTTTGCTCTATAAGTTGCTGTATTTGACATTTTTCCATTATCCCGTGTATTTACCCATGATGAGAAGGGAACGAAAACGTTCGGTTACGAAATTGGCTTACTTGACTGTGTGGATTGCGTCGGTGCTGTCACATTTTCTTTCGAAATTGGATACGCCTCCAATTTTTTCCTCGTAATATCGATTTGTCCAGCTTTTCAATACACTCTTATGATCCATGGACGAAATTTACAACCGGACGAACTCCCTTTCTTTGGAGTTGGACGAAATTATTGACCGACGAAATTTTCTGCTTATGCAGTACAGCTTTAATATTCCAACTCGGATGGTGAACCAAAACTCCAAAAGTATTCATGTAGAAGAAAATATGTGGTCCTTTCTCTTGTACATGAAATTACAGCTTGGCGATGTTTTTTAAAGAAACCTCCACAGAGACTTGACGGAGCCTATCCAAATAAGGTCGCTTACCGCTTTGGCTCGTTGTTCAAGACAATTCTCCGCACGCCATCGCGCTGTGATACCTGCAAGATACTGCTGGAGTGACTTGAGTGATTGCGGTGGGCGGTGTGGACGGCTGCAATGCTGCGAGCACATGGGCTAGCCGGCCCTGCTGAAGGCAACAAACTGGCACTAGTTCCCTGCACACCATGCCGGGTTTACATGAATCAGCGCATATGCCCACATGTATGTATGCACACGCCCACACATACACCACACACACACACACGCCCACACACACACGCCCACACACACACACACACACACACACATACACACACACACACACACACACAGTATTCTAGGATTTTCTTGACACTGTTGAGTATTTGGCTTGTCTTCGCTTCATATTTCTGCTCATATAATTTATAATCGCTAGAAACGAGGTTAATACTTTCAGGTTTTAGGATTCTGAACGACGTTGGTGATTTCCAGCTGATAAATCACAGGTACTTGGAGATTTTTAGATGCTTGTGTCGTGCATAGTGCGTAAAGATGATGCACTGTAAGAGTTCTGTGGATATTCTGGTGAGTTTGTACATTCAAATTCCGGTTTGAGAGTACACAAGGAGCCATTGCCAAGCGCACGGAACTCTCGCGAAGGTTCACTAGGCTACGCTTCTTTTGGAAATGTACTGGGTGCAAACATTACAACAGTGCTTGGCGGACGTTTTCCTTGTAGGACTGCCCGAAGTCTTGGAGCCTATCCACGGGGAAGAGAGGAGGGGGGGGGGGGGGGGGGGGGTATGTCAGTGCAATTCTAGTCATGCATTGACCAAAATCCACATCCTAAAAACGTTCAGACCCCATATTCAGTATTATTCACAGAGACTACATGTACTTGCAATCAAAGTTGCAACTTACTGATGTACGTACGACCCAAAACAATATTGTGGACTTCACAATAAGATAAATACGTACCAGAGCTCTTGAAAGCAGGCGTCCTGCCATGACAGAGACAGACTCAAATTGAAGTTATCAGGAGGTCTATGTAAAGCCTACGCCGTGAACAAGAGGAAGACTGTGATGTTCCGCTGTGAACCAATTGAATTATTTTGATTTTTTGTCCTGTGGATTTGTGTGACATTCCCCATTCACGTCAATCATCATCACGTCATGCATGCATATGTCATGACTCGACTCATGGCACGTGCATTGGATGTTGATTTTAGGGAAATACCCTATGCTGAGTGCTCAGCTCTGTTTCCCTGGTTTCTGTGGAGAAGCTTGGCTGGCCCGCGCTATTATCTGTGTCCTGCTAGCAGTGCAGTACAGACTCAGTGCCATGCGCAGTGGTCCACTCCAGCTACCTCAGCCGGCCCCTGTTTGTTTTTTTGTTTTTTTTTGTTTTTTTTTACTATTGACACAGTACAGCCCTACTGCCGTACTGGAATACAGGTGGAGAACAAAAAGAAACGAGGAAAAGGACAAAACATAGGGGATGTAGGGACGACGTGCTGATGTGCTGGGAGCAACTCAACCGACCAGAGGTCTCGGCGTCAGCGTTGCAACTAGGCATCGAAAAATGTGTGTTGGGGGGGGGGGGGGGGGGGTTGCAGAAGAACAACTGCAAACAAACAGAAGCTAGAGAATACCACAAAATAATAACTTGGTGCGAAATAATGAGAAGAAAATAATGACGCCCAAAAGCGCTAAATACGAACATGGTAAAACCATGTACCATGTTTACTGTCTGTACTGCCGCCTACAACTAATAATAGTATACTAAGTTATAGCCTGGGGCTTTACTTGGCTTATACTGTATACAGTCAGTAGCCGGCTAGCCAGACAGTCATCATCTCGACTCCTGTACTCGTAGAGTCGTACTCGTAGATCTACGAGTAGACCTACGAGTACAGGCTAGCCATGGCATGGAGTTGTAGCTAGGTTTTGCGGGTTGTCGTTTTGAAAGCCGCTGACTGGCATAGACTAGATCTACATCATAGTAGCACAGAAAAGGGCGCCATACAGCAGCATAGCTACTGCACTAGTGAGTACTCGTAGTGACCAAGCTTTCTATTCAGCCGTGACATGGTGACGGCTAGCAGAAAGGTTGTAGTTAGCCTTTGGGTAATCCTGAAATACAGAAGATTATTATTATTATTTTGGTTCAAATCTCATTTTGCTACCTCCTGCGCCAGTGCTTGGCGATTATCCATCGTAGATCATATACTCAGTGAAGTGTTCAGTTCCCACAGGAATAGCTAAGCGTGCAGCAGTATTGTATGAGAAGACAGCCATTGGTCCAGTGATGGTGGCTCTAACGGAGAAGACTGCTCTCGGTCGAGCACGAGCGAAATCGCTGGACGCCGTTGTCCGCTTGAACCTGTGGTGAGTCAGAGTGGGTTTACCCAGGCCCCGTGCCGTCCCTGCCCTGAGGTATGTTGGCACGGACCCAGGCCAACTACAGGCATATACCAAAATTCAATTTCAGCATCAAAGGAGGAGGCATCGCTAGCTCTGACAGACTGTGCAACATATCTGCTTCAATGATCTAGCTACAAATTTAATTCCGCTGGCAACAGATACCGGTACACGAATATAGTCCTTATGCACATTGTACAGATGTACGAAGTTCTGTACTATGGCCGTAGGTGTGTACATACCCGGTTGGGTGTTCATTGTGTGCTATACATGCGCGTTTGACCCATTTAGCCTCACAATTCATGGCAAACGATCACTTTTCAAGCCTTCTTCACTTTGGGATTGAACTAACGACTGGCTAGATCTCTGCCGGAAAAAGATTTCGTATGAAATGCCTTCATGGCCCATTTCATAGTGGAAATAGCAGTAAACACAATAGGGTCCTGCACATTCAACACCCAACCGGGTCTACGGGATTCTACAAGATTATACGGGATTTCGTGCATCTGTACAATGTGCATAAGGCCTATTGCGTACAGCACTGTCGGGCGCCGAAGAACGGACTGCCGAAGAACGGCCAGGCTAGAATTTCACCGATTTTTAAGAACGGTCTATAGTATTATATTGTAGGCTGGAGTTTTCAAAGATAAGAACGGAAATGGTAATAGTAGAAAGGAAAAGGACATAATTATGGAAACGAGTTAAGAGTAACTCTCCACCACTGTAACTAGATACTATATACAGTCAGAAAGTGCAACAACTAGGCACAAAACTGACAGAGTACTGAGACATTCGACGTCCTGACACCTAGCTTCAACACATCTCCGTAGCGCTAACCGACAGCCTTCCAACTTGGAAGGTTCAAGGTTATGGAAAGACCAAAGAGGGGAAGGCAAGCGCAACGAAAACGAGCACAAGCTACAGTCTCAACGGAACAAAGAATGTCGATTGTCACTGGACGATGACGAGACCAGTAGGCGATTTGACAAAGCGGTCTAACTACAATTCGAAGCAGCAAAGCAGCACACTACCCAACTTGGGTGGGTCAAAAATATCAAAGATAAGTTAAGAAGGGGGAAGCTTTGCGAGAACGAATTGTACAAGCCGAAGTCTAAACTCCTACAGTACTCATGCATGACATTGTGATGGACTAGTTGACTACAAAACAAGTTGTTTCACACGACGTACGTTTCGCCGTATGGTTCGTGACGGCTCATCAGGTGTGCAATTTGAAACTCATGTCATGCATGAGGAGTACTGTAGGAGTTTAGACTTCGGCTTGTACAATTCGTTCTCGCAAAGCTTCCCCCTTCTTAACTTATCTTTGATATTTTTGACCCACCCAAGTTGGGTGGTGTGCTGCTTTGCTGCTTCGAATTGTAGTTAGACCGCTTTGTCAAATCGCCTACTGGTCTCGTCATCGTCCAGTGACAATCGACATTCTTTGTTCCGTTGAGACTGTAGCTTGTGCTCGTTTTCGTTGCGCTTGCCTTCCCCTCTTTGGTCTTTCCATAACCTTGAACCTTCCAAGTTGGAAGGCTGTCGGTTAGCGCTACGGAGATGTGTTGAAGCTAGGTGTCAGGACGTCGAATGTCTCAGTACTCTGTCAGTTTTGTGCCTAGTTGTTGCACTTTCTGACTGTATATAGTATCTAGTTACAGTGGTGGAGAGTTACTCTTAACTCGTTTCCATAATTATGTCCTTTTCCTTTCTACTTTTATTATTGGCTCAATACCCGAGTTGGAAATGGTAATGTACACTATTATGTACACTCAGACGTATAACTCTGCATAAATGTACATGACTCTGGGCCTACAGATCGATTCCTGTCTTCGGTGGGACGCGCAGGTCTCCAGCATAGTACGTAAAACTTCCCAGAAGCTAACCACCCTGAGAACCATCCGCCCGTCGCTATCTGAACGCCAGTCGCTCCTCTTCTATTCTGCCCTTATACTTCCTGACATGCTTTATGGATCAAACGCGTTCTTCTCTGCCCTCACGGCTCAGCAGCGGCACCAGCTCACTGTCCTCGACAAGCGATGTGTTCGCTGCGTAGCCAATCTGCCCTTCCCGTCCCATACCACTCCTATATACACTCGCCTTTCCCTGACCCCTGTAATTGAACGTGCCAAATGCAAACTCCGTTTCCTTATGCACCGTGTCCACACCAGCAGCATCAGCCCTCTTCTGAAAGATAGAGTAGCCCTCCAACCTCCCAGTATCACCCGTGGCAATGACAATTGCAAATACGTTGTTCCGCTAACTCGGCGAACATCTGGCGACAGCCGACCATTGGTTTCCGCCGTGAAGCTTTGGAACACCCTGCCACAGGAACTCACGTCCGCTCGTCGTCCAACACCGTTTAAAGGGGAAGTTAAGGCAAAAATTAAAATTTCACCAGTTGTAGTCTTCGGGGTGCTGAGTCGAATGGTCGTGGTCCGAGGAAGCTGAGACGCTCCCTTCCTACTTGAATCCCAATCGAACTCGCGCACTTCCACCGAAACTGGGTGACTGCGCCCTACTAGATGGGGATTTGTATGCAAAATGTCACTAAAAGCGCCATTTCGTTCTTATAAAAGCACGGATGACCGCGATTGGCCCATATGTTGTAGTCTTTTGGACGCTGAGTCGACTGGTTTTGGTCCGAAAAGGCTGCGATGCAGCGTTCCTCCTTTATTCCCCATCGAACATGGTTGAAGAAGCGGTCACGTGCTCCTGCGTACACCAGTCAGCTGGTCACCGTGCCTGCAGGGTACAACTTACTAGCCTGTTTGACCTTTTTTGGGTGCAGTCCTGTCACTCGAGTTGAACTCGAGTTGAACCTTGGCGTGAAAGTTGTCACCTGCTGGCGTGGTGACCAGGTGATTTGGGCACCCAGGACCACGTGACCGCTTGTTCAACCATGTTCGATTGGGAATAAAGGAGGAACGCTGCATCGCAGCCTTTTCGGACCAAAACCAGTCGACTCAGCGTCCAAAAGACTACAACATATGGGCCAATCGCGGTCATCCGTGCTTTTATAAGAACGAAATGGCGCTTTTAGTGACATTTTGCATACAAATCCCCATCTAGTAGGGCGCAGTCACCCAGCCGTTCGGTGGAAGTGCGCGAGTTCGATTGGGATTCAAGTAGGAAGGGAGCGTCTCAGCTTCCTCGGACCAAGACCATTCGACTCAGCACCCCGAAGACTACAACTGGTGAAATTTTAATTTTTGCCTTAACTTCCCCTTTAAAAGATTGCTGAAAGTGTTTTTCTACGGTTAATATGGCCGAATAGCACCTCCCTCTGGCATAGGTCCTCATCTTCCTATTTCTCCCTGATTGTTACTTTGTTCGAACTTGACTTGTAATTACCGGTACAAATACTTCCTTTTGACTGTTTTCTCATTTTCGCAAGTGAAGCTTTATCGAGCCACACTTTTGATTCTATCGCCATCATAATATTGGGCATCAATGCCCGTTTGGTTTGCGATGTAAAATAAACTTCAATCAATCAAAATCAATGACAGATTGCACCATCGAATAAGAACGAAACTGCTGTGTTCGCTAAAAATAAGAACGGGCTAGGCTAGAACACTGACCCCCCCCCCCCCCCCCCCCCCCCCCAGTTCTTCGGTGCCCAACAGTATTGTA